GTAGCGAAGACCAGACAATTTGTCATAGACTTTTATGGGTCTTCCCTTCCTATATTTAAAATTCTTCGAAACTCTCCAACCATATCTTTGTAACTCTGCTTTTATTCTAGCAGACTTTCTATCCATTCTATATGGGGGCATTTTTATAAAAAATAAAAAAATTTTTTTTCTTTACTTTACATACCCGCCTGCTGCCATAAGTCTTTGACGCCAACCCATACCAGCTAATGAAGGTTGACTTGGTTTAGTTTGGAAACTAAACTTTGGTTTTGGTTTATCTTCAGTTTTTGGTTTTCTTCTTCTATCGGTTTTTCGTCACTTTTCGGTTCTCTTGACTTTACTTCACTTGCGGGAACAGTTGTGTCGTCAACATTTCATAAATATCATATGCCATTTGTTTTTGTTTTCCTTTCAACTTTTGTGTTTGTTGTAAAGTTTAGAATATTTCGACTCTAAGTCAATGAGATGTTCTATAATGAACTGTTGGTCAGTGAAGTAAACTTTTCCATCTGTTGTCTCGAAAGCTCCTCAGACTTCAATATTTTATTTGTGAGAGTCTGTTTCTTTTTTGAGATACTAGCCGTTCCATTTTTATGAAAAGTGACTTTGTAGTTAGGATTTGAGTTACCAGATCTGGCACTTTCTATTATTGAATTTTTCTCTTCATCTGTAAGTTCTTTGACAGGTTTTGACAATGGTTCTGAATTTTTGTTTGTGGTGTCAAATCTACCGTTTCAATTCTTCGGTCATTTCATCTCAGTAAAAAATTTTAGTTTGGTTTGTTTTCAACTGGTTGTTGTTGGAGGTGGGATGGTTCCTTTAATAATCATTCAGTTCACATGCTGAGCCTGACTATATGGTATCGGTTTAAATGCTGGAAGCCGACAAATCCATCTTGAACTCATTTGTCTCAATGCTGCATTGTTCATTTCATCTCAATAAAAACTTTACATTCCCCAAGTTTGAGGTGGTTGCGGTTGTTATTGTTTACCCATTGTTGTGCATGGTTATATCCTCTGTTAAGAATCTTTCACCTTGGTCCATATAATTTCCTGCTTTATGGTTATAGTCATTCATTGCTTTGTTATAATAATTTCCTGCTTGTCTTCCTACATTGTCCATCCATCCTTGAACTTTTCTCTTGTTTCAGGATTTGGAATAAGATTTGTTGCATCTCGTGCTACATCCAACCTTTCTGTACAGTTTGTATAATAGGTTGTGCTTTCTCTTTAAGTATACCTAATGTACTCAAAATCTTTCTTCCAATTCCAAATGCACCTCTGGCTATTGTTCCCACTGCGGGTAAAAATCTAGATGCAACTCCTGCTAATGCGCCAAATAAACCCATTTCTTATAGGGTAAAAAATGACGAATCCAAACAAGGACCTATGTTTCTAAGGCAACAAAAAAAGCACTCAATGATAAAAATCTTTAGTTCAACACCAAATGCTTGGTTTATGATATCTTGGAAAACATTCCGAGAGTTAGAACAGATGGACCACCATACTGGCTAATATTTGTCGGTCAAAACACAAGATACTGTGAAGCCATACCATTATGGTCCAAAAATATTTAGATGTGAAAACTGCTTTGACAATATTCGTTGACAATACCATCCAACAAAACTGACATCTGACTGTGAAAGTTTTTCAAATCAGATGATGTAAAAAACTATCTGCGTTCAAAAAAATGTAAACCAATATTTCATTGTCGACCAAAACCATTCTGCTCTTGGTGTCATTGACGGATGTAAAAATGTTAAGAGACTTAACCAACCACAAGGTGGTGAAAGCAAATGAAATGTCATATGACGACAAGTATAGACACTTCCCCAGGCAAAGATGAGACAAGTTTTAAATATTTACAATAACCGTAAACAAAAAGGTTTGGGAAACCACTCCCCCGAAGAAAATGAAAAACAACCCTGACTTAGAGAAAGACTATATATTTAATAATTTAGTCAAAAGAGACAAACAAGAAAGAATGCCGGGCTTCAAACTTCAGAAAGGTGACAAAGTAAAAATAGAAATACCCAAACGCGACCCATATGAAAATACTATTGACTATGACAACAATGGGAACCCGACAGGTACTCACATTCGTGTTCGTAAAAATAGAAGAAAGTATACAAGAGAATATTATGAAGTTTTAGGCAAACATGGCAAAATGTACAGACTGCAAGCAGAAGATAAAACGACTATTGTCAGACCTCGTTTCAAACTTGTCAAAGTTCAAGGTGTATACTTTCAAAAACAGTTCCTAACAAATATACAACTCCAGACGAATATGCTAAAGAAGTTGAAAATGACGACTAAGCAATTCTATACCATGCGTAAACTGTCATGTAAGGTGGCATGTATTCTTTACTTTGTCCCGTTGTTTGCGTATATCCTGAAACGTGATGTGTATGGTCTCCTTCTCCCAAGTGTCATCCCAGTAACAATTTATAGCAAACTTAACGTCGTCTTTAACATCATATCTTTACCTTTTGTCATTCCTGACCAACCCCAATATCTATGCCTATGCCAACCTGCTTGAGATGTACTTAAATTTATGTAATGACGGTGCAGGTAAATTTTCACCTGAAATCGTTTTACTTCCACCTGTTTCCTTTGAAGAGTTTGCACAATACAAAAACCTGTCGACTATTTGTTCCCATGCACCAACACCAAACATTACTTGAGGACCTCTCACATCCATAGATGTATAAATAGAACCTACCGGGTTCATTAAATCAAACATATGAGATATTATAGGATTGTCCCTTTTGAACTTAAAATATAGTGCAACTATTTCGGGTTTCTTCTGGTTTGTGTCAGAATATTTTTTATAATATAATCTTATGTTTTCAGGGTATGTACAATCTTGACTATAATATTTATTTCTGTCATCTGTATAATAATATACTATTCTCGTTTTTTCTATTGCATTATATCTTTTATATCTATAATAATCTAAATATAATGTTTGCTTTTGTTCATCTACATGTGGTGTTCTGTCGTCATCTCCATAGTCATAATAATATGGTGCTGGAGCTGGGTCAGGCAATGTCATATCTGCCATTTCATAAACTCTTAAATATTTCTTTTGTTCGTCTCCATAGAAGTTTAAGTAGCAGTTGTTGTCTAATGGAACTTTAACTTGTGTACCATTATTCTTTATATAGCTTACATACATTTCATTGTTATTTTTCGGAATGAGTTTATATCGTATACCATTTTTTAAGGAATGTACAAACTGCCATCTAAAATATTTATTTTCTTCATTGACAGAAAAGTCACCAACAATAGTTTCAATATTTTTTGTTCCTATCAAACTTTGGTATATTTCATTGACATATGTTTTATCTGCTTTTGTCTCTAATGTTTCTTGTAAGTTTGTAATATTTGCAATGGTATGTGTATGTCCAACGTCACTTTTCCTGTTTAAGGTTTCTTGTAAGTTTGTAATATCAGATATAGAATGTGTATGAGTCTTATTTGCTTTTGTCTCTAATGTTTCTTGTAAGTTTGTAATATCAGATATAGAATGTGTATGAGTCTTATTTGCTTTTGTCTCTAATGTTTCTTGTAAGTTTGTAATATTTGCAATGGTATGTGTATGTCCAACGTCACTTTTAGTGTTTAAGGTTTCTTGTAAGTTTGTAATATTTGCAATGGTATGTGTATGTCCAACGTCACTTTTCCTGTTTAAGGTTTCTTGTAAGTTTGTAATATTTGCAATGGTATGTGTATGTCCAACGTCACTTTTCCTGTTTAAGGTTTCTTGTAAGTTTGTAATATCAGATATAGAATGTATATGAGTCTTTTTAGAATATTCGTTTTCAGCTCTTGTCACTTCACGAGATTGGGACAAAGTTGCAATTCGGCACTTTTTGTAAAAAAATGGGGTCATACTCATAATGAATAGAGACTTATAGCCAAGTCTTGATATCATGCAGGGAGAATATACATTGATAAGCAATTATATTTTATAGTAGTAGTATTCAGAAATTCTTACAATTTACAATACAATTTTCAAAAATGGATAAAGACTAATAGCCAAGTCTTGATATCATGCAGGGAGAATATACATTGATAAGCAATTATATTTTATAGTAGTAGTATTCAGAAATTCTTACAATTTACAATACAATTTTCAAAAATGGATAAAGACTAATAGCCAAGTCTTGATATCATGCAGGGAGAATATACATTGATAAGCAATTATATTTTATAGTAGTAGTATTCAGAAATTCTTACAATTTACAATACAATTTTCAAAAATGGATAAAGACTAATAGCCAAGTCTTGATATCATGCAGGGAGAATATACATTGATAAGCAATTATATTTTATAGTAGTAGTATTCAGAAATTCTTACAATTTACAATACAATTTTCAAAAATGGATAAAGACTAATAGCCAAGTCTTGATATCATGCAGGGAGAATATACATTGATAAGCAATTATATTTTATAGTAGTAGTATTCAGAAATTCTTACAATTTACAATACAATTTTCAAAAATGGATAAAGACTAATAGCCAAGTCTTGATATCATGCAGGGAGAATATACATTGATAAGCAATTATATTTTATAGTAGTAGTATTCAGAAATTCTTACAATTTACAATACAATTTTCAAAAATGGATAAAGACTAATAGCCAAGTCTTGATATCATGCAGGGAGAATATACATTGATAAGCAATTATATTTTATAGTAGTAGTATTCAGAAATTCTTACAATTTACAATACAATTTTCAAAAATGGATAAAGACTAATAGCCAAGTTTGATATCATGCAGGGAGACTCTCTACAAATACAAAAATTGATTATCATAAGGAAATACAAATTTATCAATTTTCATGTGAAAATTACATAAATTTGTTCTCCAATAAATAGCAATAATACTTTGAATGTTATATTAAGTAATATAGCTTCAGGTAAATAAGCTTACACTTCAAAAATATACTGTTTATTCATTAATTTTAAAAAAAGTCCAAATTATCTAATCTTGCTTACTCTTCCTTTAAACTTCTTTGTGCCAAATTTAATATTGCCTTCAAAGATGGAATAAGGACATTAGGTTCAATCCTTCGGCTTTCGACAATTTCCAAAATGTGTTGAATTAATTTCAAACATTCATCGTGTTTTGAAGCTCTTTGCTCAACAATCTGATTACCTGCCCTTGTAAGAATTCTTACTGCTCTTTCTTCACTCAAAACATTAGCGACTTGAACCTTAATAATCGCATTTGGAATCACAACAGTGATGAGAGTTATGACGATGTCATCAATGCGCTCATTTTTCTTACCCAAGAAAAATGTTTGCTTTAATTGATGAAAGTGTGATTCCGCAATGTTATTCGTGGAATCACCTTCTCCACGATATAACATCATCCAATGTTCTTTGGTTCTTCTCCATTGTTTATCGAAATACTTCAAAGCGCGCGGTTCTTCTTCTTCTAACATTGTTGTCAAGAACTCATATGTTTCATCAGACTCTTCAGCCAGCTTTTCTGCATTCGTTGCATCTGCACGTAATGTCAAAAAGTCCATTGCTAAATAGAAGTTCTCAAAATTCTGTGGATTGTCAAAATAGCTTCCAACTTTTGCACATGCGCGTAAAACATGCACAGCGCACCAACTGAGCTGCGCAAGAGGAAATCCGTCCTCAATTGCGCGAGCAATGTTTAGCGCACAGTTAGCGCTCCAATGCTGTGGATCCAGGTGCGCAAACTCACAGAATTTCACCAAACATTCTTGAATTTTTTCAGATGTCTGAGGGTTCACTAAAAAATAGCAAAAGGGGAAAATTGTGTTTTGACTTGTTTTCATTGTTACTGCAAACAATTGGATCTTTCCTTTAATTAAAGAATGAGTGGAATCGACGTGGAGAGGGTTATCAATGCTATGCACCAATTCTTTTGCAGCAAAAGGTGCATATATGATTGTAAACTCGGAAAAATCGCCATTGTAATCAAATTGAACGAGATCATCTGGGCACTCTTCCTGTAAATTATTCAAAAATGCTTCCAAAGAAGTGTAAGGATCGTTTGATAATCTTTGTGCAATAATCTCATCAAGGCGATAAAATTTGTGCTTTAAAGCATCAGTAGACTGCGCGAAAAGTTTCATCGTTTTTTGTTATTCGTATCAATTCCGAACTTATCAAAAAATGCTTTTGAGCAAGAAATTGCTTTCCACCGTTTTTAATATAAAGTTCGATCCATTTTTGATAAAATTTACTCGCGTAATGTGAACCCATTTCAACTCCTATATGATGGCAATGTTCTTCATTAACTTTGCTTATAGTAAACACTCCATTTTGTTCTTCAACCCTAAATTTTGCCTTGCATAGGGGATACGAACATGAATAAGTGACATATTGCTTTGGAGATCCCGTTCTTCTTCTGTATGGGACACCGCCCTTGACTTCCTGTTTAATACCAAAAGCAATAAGCTCCTCTAAGTCCACCGAAATCATAAAAATGAAGTGATTTTGAAAAGAGTTAACAAAATTCAAATCACATCAAAAACAAAAACACATAAAAAATATTTTATTATACTCATTCGAAATTAAAAATAATAAAATTTATATATATTAATTTCATTAAATCAAGGTTAAAAATCTCACCGGAAAAATAACCTCAGTGTGATAAATTTATCACCGGAAAAATTTACAATAAGGTTAATACCGAAAATATCGAAAAATCAACATTTAAGGTTAATTTAAGAGTATGCACTTTTGTCACCTACTCGTCACTTCACTTGACATTTTATTGTCAACATATGTTTTGTCTGCTTTGTTGTCAACATCTGCTTTCAAAAGAAGTTCATTTATAGGTTTCTCGTTTAAAGTTCCTTTTGTTGGATTTATACAGACAATATGGTTCTTATTGTCTAGAAATAGAAACTCATCTGTTAAAGGGTTTAATGTCAGTTTTAAGTTTCCTTGTTTCAATGACTCAGATATTTTAGAATAGTTTGAAAAGTTTGTTGTGTTCTTATTTAGAGCTTGCATAATGAGTTGTCTGTTGTGTTGTATTTCTCTCATAGACGCTGTTTCATTTGACATTTTTATTATAGATAAAATATGCTTCCAATAGAAAAAGAAAATTCAAGAGTTGCTACAACTAAACCATTAGATGAACTTTTTACTAATGTCGGTCAAAAGTTTGAGACAGAGACCGTAAAGCATGAAGGCTATCGTTTTGACTACCCATTAAGATGGTTAAGAGACCCATCCGTCACAAAAGCTATTGGATTTCGTAGAATGAAGTTCATTTCAGAAGCCATACATGGTTTCCCATGTATGGTCGGTTTTGAAGTTCGATATTATAACAAAGAAAAACGTATGTATGAGAAATTTGAACAAGGAAAACTTTTACAAGTTAATTTGCTTATAAACTTAGAAACAACTCTTCAAGCTTTTCAAGAAAAAATAAACGATATCTATATTGAATATGCAAACCAGTATAACATTGACGAAGGAGAATACCATCTCGATATTATTTATGACAGGAAAAATGCAACTGTTAAAATCAATAAAATAGAAGACCTTGGAGAAAACGTTTATATTTCTACAAAATATAACAACTTGGCATGGTATAGATTTATGAGGATGTTAAATCAGCCTGCAGCATATCCAGTACACCCGGACTATTATGAAGTCGAAAACCCTAATGGAACATATGAAAATGTTTTCGACCCAGATGCTATTATTGTTCATGCTTCATTTTCTGGTGCGCAAAACTCTTTCTTATGTCTGATGAATGATTTTTACGAAAAACCTACAAAGTTATATGAACCACCAAGTGGAAGTATTTCAGACTTTCAAGTATGGTTTACTACAGATGGAAGAAAAAGAATAATTCCATTATACCATGCGTTTTACTTAGAACTTAGTTTCATATACAACTACTATCGAACGATAAAAATATAATGTTTTAATACGGTTGAGGTGTTGGATTTGGTTGCCAACTTGACTGTGGTGCAGGTTCAGGTTGTTGTATAACAGGGGCTTGTTCTTCTGGTTCAGGGTCTTTAGGTATAATACCAACAAACTGACCTACTCTTTTACCAATATTTTTGACACCGTTCCAAATTCCTCTTCCGACAGATTTTATTCCATTCCATATACCTCTTCCAACTCTTCTGAAGAAGTTTCCAATACTACTGAAGAAACCCATTTTACTAGTAGTAAAAATCTAATGTCCGCCTAGTCTTTTGCGTTTCCTGTTGAGTTCCATAGCATTCTTTAACTGGAGCTCATACATTCTGTTCTCCTCTGGTAGAAAACATATTCTGGGTCAACTCCTGTGTTCGCGTCATCTGCATAAAGTTGTTTATATCCCACTTCAGGGTTTGTATAAAACTCTTTCCATCTCATATTCATACCATGGTGGCAAACCTAACGCAGCGTCATTTGACATGGCAGTTTGCATTTGTACATCTGTTGGCACTTGACCATAGTTTGCCATTGCAGTTTGTATTCTAACTTCATTTGGAATATTCTCTGGGTTTGGTTGTCCAGGTTGCTGTGCATTCGCTAAGTTCTGTGCGTCCATTTAATATTAGATAAAAATATCTTACGAGTACATATGCTGAACATTTGCAGGCATTGGTTCATCTTCATATTCTCTATATCTTTGCCACGTCAAATAAATAAATGACACAATGGAAAAAACTAAAACAAGTAGTATCTATTTCAAACCACATTTACTACTAATAAAATTTCTTTATTGTGACACTTTCTCCAGTTTATGGGACCTCTCTCATACTCTATCTTGTCATATCTAAACTCATAGTCATGTATGTCTTCTAACCATCTCATAACGGTTTCCAAACCACTTTTATCGGATGTAAAGTAAAAGCATGGATGGTTATGTATAACGTCTAAAGTTTCTAAAGAGTCTCTCAAAGTCCAGTCTACTTGGTATTGAAAATCCCATGTGTTATAGAACGGCGGGTCCACTATAAAGAAAACATTTTCCTTGTCTTTATATTTTTCATACAACTCTGTCCAATGACATCTCACAAACTCTATACCCTCAATATATTTTTCTATGTCCTCTTTGAAACATTTGTATAGTTAAGATATAAAACTTTTGACATAAGTGTTTCAATGTCATGAACTCTTATAGCACCACTATATAATAGTCTAGCAGATATACTATCCCAGTCTATATATTCTGCTTTTTTCAAAACCTCTCTCACAATATTTTTCTTATCTAATGGTATACGTTCCATCTTACCTATAGGTATCTTTTCTTTTAACTCTTTCAATATATTGTTTGTGTCTGGAATATGTTTGAGACGGTCCATATAGTTGTCGAAGTCATTGCATATAATCTTTGAGTCTGGGAATATTGTATGACATAAATGGGATATATAGAAACTTCCACCGAACAAATCTACAAATGTTAGACCATTCGGTAGTTTCTTAAGTTCTCTCAATATAATATCTTTACATCTACTCTTATTTCCAAAGAACGGTAACGGTGGTTTTGTAAAATTCATTTATATATAATAATAAAAATGTTTTTACCTGAAAAGTGATATAAAAGTGACAAAACATGAAAACATATATAATTTGTGAAAAGTGACATAAAAGTGATATTTTAAAAAGTGACACAAAAAGTGACACTATTAATATGATGTAAATAACAACGGTTTTGGTTTTGTCGCCGGCTGGTCGGCTGGGGTTCGGTCCTCCTCTTGGGTCTTGGGCAAAATTTCTTAGGGGCTAGAGGGCGCAACGCGCCTGGAAGCCCCACTCACCTGACCTTTTTGTCTTGTTTAAATTAAAGATTTCTACTATTTCTTTGTAATTACGCCTGGATGCTATATAAAGAGGGGTAGATCCATCTTTGTTTTTAGCATTGATATCTGCACCATTTGAAATAAGAATTTCTGCGGTTTCTTTACTCTTATATCTAGCTGCCCAATGAAGAGGGGTCCACCCACCATGTTCTTTAGCATTGATATCTGCACCATTTGAAATAAGAATTTCTGCAATTTCTTTACTATTATCTCTGGCTGCATAATGAAGAGGGGTCCACCCACCATGTTCTTTAGCATTGATATCTGCACCATTTGAAATAAGAATTTCTGCAATTTCTTTACTATTATCTCTGGCTGCATAATGAAGAGGGGTAGATCCATCTTCGTTTTTAGCATTGATATCTGCTCCATTTGAAATAAGAATTTCTGCGGTTTCTTTACTATTATATCTAGCTGCACAATGAAGAGGGGTCCATTCATTTTTGTCTTTAGCATTGATATCTGCACCATTTGAAATAAGAATTTCTGCGGTTTCTTTACTATTATTACTGGCTGCATAATGAAGAGGGGTAGATCCATCTTCGTCTTTAGCATTGATATCTGCACCATTTGAAATAAGAATTTCTGCGGTTTCTTTACTATTATTCATGGCTGCATAATGAAGAGGGGTCCATTCATTTTTGTCTTTAGCATTGATATCTGCACCATTTGAAATAAGAATTTCTGTGGTTTCTTTGTTATTATTACTGGTTGCATAATGAAGAGGGGTCCATCCATCTTTGTCTTTAGCATTGATATCTGCACCATTTGAAATAAGAATTTCTGCGGTTTCTTTACTATTATATCTAGCTGCCCAATGAAGAGGGGTCCACCCACCATGTTCTTTAGCATTGATATCTGCTCCATTTGAAATAAGAATTTCTGCGGTTTCTTTACTATTATTCATGGCTGCACAATGAAGAGGGGTCCATTCATTTTTGTCTTTAGCATTGATATCTGCACCATTTGAAATAAGAATTTCTGCGGTTTCTTTACTATTATCTCTGGCTGCATAATGAAGAGGGGTAGATCCATCTTCGTTTTTAGCATTGATATCTGCTCCATTTGAAATAAGAATTTCTGCGGTTTCTTTACTATTATATCTAGCTGCATAATGAAGAGGGGTAGATCCATCTTTGTTTTTAGCATTGATATCTGCACCATTTGAAATAAGAATTTCTGCAATTTCTTTACTCTTATATCTAGCTGCCCAATGAAGAGGGGTCCACCCACCATGTTCTTTAGCATTGATATCTGCACCATTTGAAATAAGAATTTCTGCAATTTCTTTACTATTATCTCTGGCTGCATAATGAAGAGGGGTAGATCCATCTTCGTTTTTAGCATTGATATCTGCTCCATTTGAAATAAGAATTTCTGCGGTTTCTTTACTATTATATCTAGCTGCATAATGAAGAGGGGTAGATCCATCTTCGTTTTTAGCATTGATATCTGCTCCATTTGAAATAAGAATTTCTGCGGTTTCTTTACTATTATATCTAGCTGCACAATGAAGAGGGGTCCATTCATTTTTGTCTTTAGCATTGATATCTGCACCATTTGAAATAAGAATTTCTGCGGTTTCTTTACTATTATTACTGGCTGCATAATGAAGAGGGGTAGATCCATCTTCGTCTTTAGCATTGATATCTGCACCATTTGAAATAAGAATTTCTGCAGTTTCTTTACTATTATTACTGGTTGCATAATGAAGAGGGGTCCACCCACCATGTTCTTTAGCATTGATATCTGCACCATTTGAAATAAGAATTTCTGCGGTTTCTTTACTATTATTCATGGCTGCATAATGAAGAGGGGTCCATTCATTTTTGTCTTTAGCATTGATATCTGCACCATTTGAAATAAAATATTCTAAAAGTGATGAAAGATGGAAATTCGGAGAATAAACAAAACATGTGTTGATGTCATTTGTTTGATCCAAGTAAACTAAAAATGATTGAAGATTATTGAATTGAGAGCACAATTTTAAATCAATTTTTATATTGTGTTCATTCATCAAAAATGTAACAAAATCGATATTGTGTGATATTATTGCATATTCCATGCATTCATCATCTGGTTTTTGTACTTTCAAGCATTCATTCATAATGTCTGGATTTCCGCTCAAAAACGAATATCTAAGACAATCTGGAGTTATTTCTGATTGAAATTTTGTTATTAAAAACTTAAAACAATCAACAGATCCATGATAACAACATAATTCAAGTAACGAAAAACCTCTTCTTGGATATGGATATAAATCACTTTTTAATTTCTGATTTTTATCAAATCCTTCTCCTTCTGTAAAATTTATAAATGATATTTTGTCATCATCCATAATAGATCTGTGAATTGTTTTTTGTTCGTGAATATCAGATGAATAATGAGCATCTTCAAAATCGTTAAAACTTTTTTGCCCGTTTTCATTCAATACAATATTGTATTCTTTGTAGAAAAGGTAATTAAAAACCATGTTGATTTTGTTGACCTGATTTAGATGGTATTCGTCAACAATTTGTTTGGCAATCGCTAAATATGACTTCATGTAGCGGTTGTTATAAATTGAAAGTTGAGATATTTTATTGATAATTTCACCAGGCGGAATTCGATAAGAGTCGATCAGGTTTTGTTCAATTTTTTTGTAAATTGCGTTTAATTTTTCTTCGTCATTTGTTTTCAGCCTGTACAAAGCATTGAAGACATCATTATATCCTGTAAAAATCCCCATCAATTTGTCATAATGAGTTTGGTTTGCTTTTCCCTTGGACATCAACCAAAAATTTTAGACAAAAGTGTATTTTCCATAAAAAATTCAGTGCATTTTTCAAAAATAATCATATCAGTAGATAGGGTATAATATAGAGGAGCTTTATGAATAACTTAAAATCCGGGAAACTCAATATTCAACGAGAAAAACGCTTAACGAATCTCCCTTTCGATGTAAACATCACAAACTTCATCTGGAAACTTGATTCATGGTTGTCTAACTAAGGACTGTTTACTACTGATAAATAATTCAAAACAATTATGAGCTAAGACGATTTTTGAATTTGTAAGCGTGAAAGGCTGATCACTGTGGTACAAATTGATTTCTCACACTAAATTAACACTGATTTGAAATTTGGCTCTGTTCCTGTAAAAATAAATTAAAAATTCTCAAAATTTTTATAAATTGAAAGAAAAAAAAATTTAACCTATGAATGACTATAAGAATGAATTACCTTCTGAGCCGGCCAAAACAATTCTAGATTCAGAAAACCAGGAAGATCCATTCCAAAATGCTTTAGATAATGAAAGAGATCATGCTTTAGGTCAATTACAAGCAATAGCGAACAACGAAGCAAGCGCTGAAACATATATGAAATTACTCGATTTCATTACAAATTGCGGTAAAGAATTAGAAGAATTTCTTATTTTTTCAAACGCAATTCGAATTTTAGGCGAAAGTTTAAACAGTTCTTCAACAAATACTTGCTCAAACTCCCTTCACATCATGGCAGCAATAGCATACAGATCTCACAAAGCTAGATCAGAATGTATCGATTATATTCATATCATCTTGAAACTGATGAGAGGACCATCGATTCTTCCATACGCAGTTGAACTTTTACAAGTTATTGTGCTCTACGAACCATGGTGTATCCAACAGCTTCAAAAAGATGAACAAATTTTTGATAAACTTTTTAATTACATGTTAATGCAACTTGACAATTACAAGATAAGTTATTTATGTACATTAGTTAATTCCCTACTGAAATATTATCCAGATTACACTCCTTCTGAAAAATCTTTCAATTTTATCCTTCAATTATTCATGGGAGTTAATTTTAGGGACCCTGAAGTGTTGTCATCCATTATTACAATCTATACAACGTTTGCAAAGAAGTTTGAATCAAATAAAATTAATCAATTTTTCCCAAGCGATGTTTTCGAAAGATTATGCGAACTTACGACAACAGCTCCTCTATGGGATAATACATCATCGGTTATTAGTCGACTTTTGGAATTATGGAACTTATTAATCGTAAAATACGGAATAATCCTGTTCGCTCAGGAAGCAATGGGCACAATATTTGAAACTCTCCTTGGAGTCTTCCCTAATTCCGCTGTTAAGAGTAGATTTTACTTCCTTTTCTCAAATATCGCTGCAATTCCCGAATTTGCAGAGCCATTTTTCTTATCTGGAGCGTTTGATGCTATATACCAAAACGTTGTTGATATGCCAGCAATAGAAAAAGAGAATTTCTTCTTTACTTTGTGTAATCTTGTAAAAACACTTGGCCCTCAAGTTTGCAACCGTTCTGACTTTGCAGAACTTCTTTCTGAATGTGTCTCCTTTGCTCCTTCCTCTAGATCTCCTGATTTTGGACCAATTTTCCTCGAATTTATTCTTATTTCTTATAATTTCAATAATCATTTGTTTTCTGCTGTTGATCTCGATGACCTACTAGAATATCTTGAGGAAATGATTGATACTGGATCAGAAGATGGACAAAGACTTGCAATTATTGCAAAACAAACAATCTTTCCCGAATAACTTATGAAACTATGTTTATATTATGTATGAAATAAATGTTATATATAATTAACTCCCTTTTTAAGTTTTGTTTGTAAATTTTCATGAAACAGCCAGAGAGAGAGGGACAAAGTTGCTATTTGTCACTTTTCCACAAGAAGATATTGGAAAAGAAGTTCTCATATAGCCGATCGCTTAACTTGTTATCTCTTGTGAGAAAACAAAAACAAATTGAAAAAGTGTAATAATGTTTTTTTTTTATCCAATATTTATGAAATAGCAAAATTTCCCTTTTATAGGGATAAAAGCTATTTCATAAATCTCTTTTGGAGATGAATTTTATTGAATACTCTTTAAACATCAATTCATCAATGATTCACGAAGAAAAATACACGAATCTTGGACTGAATTTTATCTATCAACTGAAAAATACGATGAATATACAGAACATAATAATAAATTCACAGCAAACGAAACTAGCTATTATGTTTCATCTTGCTTTTTCACTCAAGTAAACACACAAGGTTCAGTTTACTTAAACACTCAAAAAAATACAATCAAATTCCTCATTGATACTACAACGTTTAATAACTGTAGTAACAATGGTGAGGGCGGTTGTATTTTCTATCAACAAGAAGGCGAATTTGTTCAAGATCGCGTTTGCAGTTTCGCTTCTAAAGTAAACCCATACTATACAGAAGGTGTTTACTGTAGAAGTGATGTTAGTAATAGTAATACCTACAAAAATTATATTTATGATTCCTCTATTAGTAAAAGTGGAGATGAAAGACTCTTAGGAATTAAAAATCTTTATTTAAAAAACGGCCAAATCCAAATTAAATCAATCAACATTTCATTTTCAAAAATATATTTTAGAGATTTTTATGACGTTGATTCATATTCATCAGGCTCAAATTGCTTATTTTCCACTTTTTCTAATTCAACAAGTAGAGATCTTGGTTGGAAATTTGATCTCTCAAGTTCTCAAGAAATTTTTGAAATTCGAAATTGTAACATTTTAAATAACAATAATGGAGGAATTCTTGTTGCATATTCTTCTACTACGGTTTATATCAGAAATAGTTGTTTTGTAAAAAACATCATCGGTAAATATACTTATTTTTCAGGTACAATTACATTAAATGGATGTTACATTGATAACAAATCTCCAAAAACAGCAGGAGTTGTTAACTTTATAAATAAAATCACAAATGAATTTACTCATAATCTTTCTCATTTTTCAACTGCTCTTTGTCCTGCAGATATTCCTATTATTTATGAAATCAAACAAAACATTCAACATAGTAAATATATTTCTTTTCTTTGCGTTTTTCTTTCATCACTAAACATCTCACTTAAAAAGTAGTCTAATTATCATGAAATACTAATATTATTTGAAAGCAAATAATCTTTACAGTCGATTGAATCTATTTTGGAGTTGTTTATCCGGGTTTCTTTCAAAATTTGAATGAAATTTTGTAAAAAAGATGAATAGAAATATTATCAAAGCAAAAAAAATAGAACATTTATTTGTCATGCTTGAAATTAAATGAGCTTTCTCACAAAAGAACTTCAAAAGTAGGATCTTGTTGCAAAGGCAAGTTATCAGGGAACTGTTGATGGAAGAAAGGATGCTCTAAGAGCTCGCGTGCTGTTGGTCTCTTAGTTGATGGCTGGAAGCAGCTACGAACTAAGCTCTGTAAGAGAGGATCATCTATTTTATCGATTTCAGTAGGAGGAATTTCGTTTTTAAGGGCATTGATAAATAAGAATGGTGTTTTCAGACTGCTGTATGGTTCGAGTCCTGTGGCAAGAGTTAACATTAAGCAGCCTACCATCCAAATATCTGATTCTCTATTATATTGATTGTATAGGTATTCGGGAGGTGTATTATTTCTGATTTTGAGGTAATTGTCGCCAATGTTGAATGCGAAAGGATCAAGAATTGGTGGTTGTAATTTCAAAACTCGCGATTGAGTCTTAATGAAAATTTCTTTTGCGATAATTTTAAGATGTGATATGGGAGGGTCTTGCTCGTGAAGGTATTGGAGTCCAGAGAGGATTTGAATAAATCATTTTGCAATTAATTTTGGTTTCAGTTTCGGGCCAAAATCTACAATCATGTTTGCAATTGAGGAAGTATTGATGGTTTCAGTAACAAAATAAAAGATGTTATTCTCGAAATCTTCCCAATAGTGTAAAACTGCAAGAATTTCTTTGCAGCGAAGGTTCATAAAGCGAGCCGCTGTAACTAGAAGTTGCTGTCTTTGCGTTGGAGTGTAATCAATAACGTTTACTTCGAACCATGAAACCTCCATTCCTGTTTCTCGGTCATAAGCTTTATACGAGACAACGTTTGTATGGCATGTAAGGAGGGTGTCTAATTTTTCGAAGCGCCCTGTTGGATCTGCATTCTTATTACTGCGTGCTAGCATTATTTTCTGAAGAAATTTTCTGCTGTCAACCCAATTCTGCGTATTTCTAGTAAATCGAAAGATTTCACTTGTTAAAAATAATCAGGGAATATCCTCGATTAATTTCACTCTGTACTTCTTTTGAAAATATCAAGATGTGAGATTTGTTGAAAGTTTACTGACTCGGTTTTAATATCTACATTTATTAGTTATGCCAAGTTAAATGACTAATTCCTTTATTAATTTGTGTGTATCTTTATGAAAATTTGGTGATTCTTATTAAATTATGACATTATTATATCCTATTTGGTCCAGTTAATTTATTTCATGTCACTTATTTGAATTATTCGCTTAGAAGTTGTTTAACCACGAGAAATGCACTCTATATATCCAAATTCATATTATTTGAATATATAGAATGGATTTAATATTTCATTTTATAGTAAATGAGTATGTTAGTTAATTCATTCGCTCCCATTATGAAAACTAAAGGTTGAAATTTATCAAGAATGAATATCATGTAAATATTGGCTTTTTGCTGCCAGAAGAGTCAGAATTTATATGGTAATAGTCATATCTTTGTTAATATAAGTCAATATGAGCACATATTGAGATTAATTTGTCCTGGGCATAAGTTCAATCAACAATGGATAAAATTATCATGTATTGCATCCTAAATATAGTGATCATAATTTCAAGTCTTGTGTTCATATCGTTATTGAAATCTCAAATTTCAAACAGCTCCGTTCATAGAATATTTTCTGCAACAATGGCTAGGATGAGAGGTTTAAATCCAAATTCAATTATCCACATGCAAATGGCCTTCTAAATTCGGCCAACGGTTGTAAAAATTGAGAAAAATTCAACGATAGCAAATTCCAATACAATGTAGTCATTTGACATTAAATCTATTTGGAATTTGCTATTTTCGGCCGATGTGTAACATATGAAATTTCTGACAGCTAAAATCTCGAAAAGTGCCAGATTTTATTGTGAGTTAACGATGGGAATTGAGAGGCCCTTTTCATTATGTTTGCTCTATTATTGGCTCATGTACTCAGCGAAGATAATGACGAAATCAAACTACTTAATATAGGAAAAGCAGGTGAAATAGCCATACCAGCAGGTACTCTCGTTTTTCTTGCATGCCTTTCAATTGTATTATACTTCATCTTCGGTAAGCACCTTGATGATGATATCCCACTCGAAAAGATCATGGTTCTTGATGATATGTCAGGATCTGATAGTATTGACGAGCAAGATACCTCGAAACCTGATGAAGAATCAGCATCAACACAACCAGTTGTTATTGATGAGTTATAATTGTTGCATATATTATTGTTTATCATATTAAATACATTTTGTATCATATTAATGACATTCCATTATTAACAGGCTCCAAACTGGCTCTTTGTCCTTTATAATTATTGTCGAAACAATTTGTATCAAATAAAAATCATTCATGTTCTATTGTTTAATACTGAATTACATATTTGTAATGAAATTAAGTTATGCAATAGTTTGGAAAGCTGGGAATGCATAAATTACCAATTGTTTAATGGTTAAGCATGAAACAATTGAGTTTTTAAACTAATATTTTTAATCAATCTTAAAAATGTGATGTTGATTGCAATATCCTTATGAAAATAAGTGTAGAAATGAGTATGTGTAGATGTTCAAACTATATATAGGGAAATTGAATGTTGATCAGGAGATTCAGAATAAAACTAAAGATCTTACATAATTATACTTATAATATGACTCTTTTAGATGCTTACTAGTAGATGTTCACTAGAAATATATCTAAAATCTAACCCTTTTATCTAGGAAATTTATACGAAATTGTGTTTCATATTTTTTTTTATGAATTTTACTTTTAGCTCTCTTCGGCTTTCTGAGATATCAAGCAGTCTATCTCCGCTATTGACACATAGAAACACACTGCAAAGATGCTATTTCACCCATCAAATTAGTCCAATAATTTATTCTTCGAAATCTCAAAGCATATTTAAAACGAAATTTTCCAAGAGCTTAAGTTCAGCAGTAGTCATTCAGTCAGAGAATGATGTTACGATCGAAAATATCGAAATAAAAGAAAGTATTTTCTCAGATTTAAAGAATTCGGAGCAAGGTGGTGCTGTTTTAGTAAAACATCCACAAGCTTTTGTCAGAATCTACAAAACGTTGTTCCTAGGATGCTCTGCTACCACAAATGGTGGCGGATTATACTGTACAAGTGCCAGATTAAATCTATCTGAGTCGGCTTTCCATGAATGTTCAATTTCTGACATGGCATGGAGTGGACAGGCTTTTCTAACGACCTGTAACTACGCTCAAGTTAATACAACAACAGTTTTTTGTTGTGCAATTTCAGAAACATTACGTGGCTCAGAAGCTGCCATACTTGTTGGAGGCGTGCAGTGTATCTCCCAGCTTAACTCCAGCTATAACATAGCTGCTCAATACGCATCTGGACTTGCTACTTCAGAATCAGTTTCATTTTCACTCAAACTTTCACAATTCTGGCATAACCAAAGTCCAAATCACATGCTTGCACTCGTACATATACGACCTGATGATGATATTTCGTTTTGCAACTTTATCAAAAATACAGTTCCTGTTGATGGTCTTTTCTACATTAGTGGTGGTTATTGTATACTCAGGAAGTGTGTTTTCAAGCGAAATACCGGAACATTTGCTGTTTTTAACCAAGCATATGGTCCAGGATATTTAACAATAGAAGAATGCGAAATTGACCTTCCAGAACAGAGAATTATGAGTGGACAATATAATTTATACAACGTCCAATGCGTTTTCACTAAAAAACCATCAAAATTAGCCCTTCCAAGAAATAGTGAGCTCAATCCTGATAATTTGTACAGAATGTATAGATATATTAATATCAAATAACTTCCTTATTTGATTATTTTTTGTTTGTTTATAGTTAATAATAAAAATGTTAAATTTACATTTTATTTTCTCATTATTTTATAATACTTCACTGTCATTACGTTTAACTTAACTGTATCATAGTTGATTTTTCATACAATGGCCAGTTTCGATATCAAATATGTACAAATATGTAAAATCAGAGCTAAAACAATTCATTTATGAGTGATTATAGATTACTTATAGTTTGTGTCAATACATATTGTATGTTTTTCTCATTTCAAGTATCAAATATCTATTTGACGACTTGGGATCCTAATTTGGCCGTTTTTAGATTTGATTTCTATGACACAAAAATTTTGATATAAATGTTTAGCCTTTCTCCAGACTGGGCAGGTATATTTGAAATGATATTGATACTGCTTGTCATTTTAATTGGCTATAGCATCGCTGAATATTTCTTACAAAAGCATTTTCACCCAGATACAACAGATAGATCAAGTTTCTTGATCACTCCAGAGTATTGCTTTGCATTTGGTGTAGGCATATTAGAATTTTTAGTAGAATCAATCATTTTCCCTTCTAAATCAAAATTAGGAAATAAATGCAGTATCTTTGGACTTATTGGTATGACAATTGGCCTTGCAATTAGATTTAGTGCTATATTGCATGCTGGTAAGTCATTCACACATAGATTAGCTTTCAGAAAGGAACCAGAACATAAATTGATTACAACAGGTATATATAGATATATACGCCATCCTTCATATTTAGGGTTTCTAATCTTCGCTATCAGCTCACAGATCTATTTAACAAATCCTATTGCAATTATCGGATTTTATGTACGTTTATCAATCTTTTTCCGCCAGAGAATCGACATTGAAGAACGTTATCTTCTAAAGTTCTTCCCAGAATACGAAAAATACCGTAAAGAAACAAGAACATGGATGATTCTTTTATTCTAAGCGAGCTATCATTGATATCGCATTTTGTAAAATATTAATTATATTTTTCCAATAAATGCTTCAAGAATATATGATATTTTTTTTCTCATTTATTTTTCCATAAGATATCGAAAATGATTTTAATATAATGGAAGAAAATATATGATGGCTATCATGTGTATTATTACATGCAACTTTCCAAGCCCAAATAAAAGAAGGATTAAAAAAAAAATATTAGCAATATTTAGATCTGATTTACATCTTGCTAAGGCATAACGTCATATATATCAGTGTCGACCTTATTGGCAAAGTCAATTTATATTTTCGATGTAAATCCTTTGAATGTCAGAGGATCGTATCGATAATAAGAAACGAAATATAATATTCTGGGTTTTCTGCTGATAAAGCGCTTAATTATTGTAGCACTTGAGTATTGAGTGTTTTTTGAGCAAAAATAAAGTTTTCAAAAAATTGAGGGGATTTTATTTCCGTTTAAATTTTTAAATTTTAAACATATGAAAACCCAGAACAACGCTTTAGCACCAACAAGAACAAGACAAAAAACATCATTTCCATCAAGAGCAACCAAGTGGTCACAAGCTGAAGATGATGCATTAATCGCTATTGTTCAAGATCATCAAAAAGTTAATTGGATTGAAGTTGCAAAACGATTTCCAGGAAAAACACCACAACAAGTTTCTGAAAGATGGAATAAGGTCGTCAATCCTGATCTTGTTAAAGGATCTTGGACACGCCAAGAAGATGAATTAATTATTGATTTTGTTACAAGATACGGTACTAAAAACTGGACGAAACTCGCTGCATTATTACCAGGAAGAATCGGAAAGCAATGCCGTGAACGTTGGAGGAACCACCTTGACCCTTCTAACAACCATGGTGCATGGACCGAAGAGGAAGATGCTAAACTCTTAGAATTACATGCACAGTTCGGTAATCAATGGGTCAAAATTGCATCTATGATGCCAGGAAGATCAGATAACTCAATCAAAAACAGATGGAATTCTACATTAAAGAAGATATCTCCAGATCAGGTTTCCATTGTGAAATGTCAGCATTCAACACCAGTTACAGATATTCAGAACGTTATTGCTCCACCGCAAACACCTTCCTCAGTGAATTACGATTTCCCTAAGCCAAATATCGATGAGCAGATTCCAGAACCATCATTAGATCAGATGTCAACTGGAATGACTCCACGTAGCTTCGAATTGATCTCTCCATCATTAATGAGATCACCATTCGGAGCAATTTCGCCATTGTTCAAGAATGATTCATTGTTGAGCCCATGGGGAGATTCATCAAAGGGAACTGGCCTCTCTTTATTCTCTCCTAGCTTCAGCCCAATGTTTAAATCTCAGAATAGAGACCAAAACTCTGCAAAGGAGCCTAATTTGTTATCTATCATGCAGAGCCTTAACTAGTCGTTATTATTTATGTTTATATTTGGTGATAAATAAATCTATTAAATATTCATTGATTTGTTTTAATAATTGATTCTTTTTATTACTTATTATTGCATTCTGTTGGAACTTCTTTTCTTTTATGTTCGTAATGCGATTAGTCTTATTCATATCTCAAGAGAAACCATAGATATTACATCTCCTATCAATTGGAAAGATGTTTTCTTGAGCAACATTTAAAGGTAATAACTATTTTTTGTTCTAAGATGTAATGATTGTATATTGCTCTATATCATGCATAAATATGAAATATAATTATTATTCAGAGGCAATAGAAAAATAACATATACTTTATAAAACAAATAAAAAATATCAATTAGATGGTTGCTCGCTGTATTGCAAAACCTGATCGCAAAGTTTTGGTAATTGTCTAAAATTAAGCTGACAACTGGCGCGAAGAGATTTATTTGGAATTTGATCGAGACCTTGAATAGGTTGATACTCAAGTTCTTGTAAGCTTTTCAAAGAAAAGCAAATTTTTGTATTAATTCTAATAATAAAGTAGTTCTTTTCCTGAATATCAATGTTAAACTTACTGTATCCAGCTAAAACTTCTAATACTGGATTTACATCATGAATGGATTTCTTTACTAAAGCAATTTTAGAATTAATTTCGTCAATTTCTTTTTTCATTCGATTAACTTCACGTATTTTTGCCTTTATTTGTTCATTTTCTTGTTCAAGTTCGTTTCTAATTTCTGTGTTTACCCTTTCATGTTCTTCAATTTTACTTTGTAAATCGTCAATATCAGCAATAACGCTATGAATGCGTATTGATTCCATATCTTTATAGTTTTTCTCCATTTCTTCGTATTTCTTTTTCCAATCAATAGTCTCAGTCATCTTCAAATTTGAAGCGATAAATAATTAAACGGTCATTTTTCAAGAAATTTTCAAGCTTCAAGAGTGAAATTTCACAACTGTGTTTACTTAGAAAATCGTATTTTTCAAAACTGGATCTCAAATTCTTTCCATTTCTGAATTGACAAGATCTCACGTTTCTGAGTTTGTTTAATAGTACTATATCTATGCTCCACTTTTCTTCAGAGACCTATCTCATTCTGAATTGTCAACAACAAGTCTGTTATCATTAAGTTGATAAATATGGACAAATTATTGAAGATATTTAAGCTAAAACAACATATTAATTTGTCACAATATCTCATATTATTTCAAATACTGTGGTATTCCTTGGAATATCTCTCAGAAATAGTTAGATTAACTTAATATTTTAATTTCAAATTTAATGTATAAGCTTTAAACACTCTATTTAAACTTGATGTAAATTAGTGATAATACGTGCTTTATAAATAATAATATGAAGTTGGATTTTTGAAAGGTACTCTATTTTTATTTTACTTAGCAAGAACATGTGAAGCTGCAATAAAGCGCTCATTAAGATATGGTGAGCCACCTTTTTCTAGATCATTAAGCTTAATCATCCTATCAAGATGTTCTTTGATCGATTTAATATCTAATTTATCTTTCTGCTCAAAGCCGAGAATTTGTCTGGCTTCGTCTGGCATCATTCTTGTTTGGAATTGAATACCGAATACAGCGCCAGCAAATTTTTGGAAAGCATTTCCATTTGGTGCGTTGGCTGCTGCTGCATGCTTGAATCCATTGATGAATGTAGAACAAACGACTTTAGTTGATGAAATGACTAGACCTGCAAGCTCAACAATCACCATTCAAAGTTTACATATCGTCCTTCAATAATCAGCCTTTGACCTATCTAAAAAAAATCAGTGATTTTTGGGAGAAATATAATTTAATGAGTCTAAGAATGTTAAATTCTTTAGACAAAAGGATGAGATTCACAATCTAATTCAATTTGAGAATTGCATTCACCCAAATTGTTCATTTTAGAAGGTGATATGGTTTGTAACCATCTAAAAATGATAAGTCGATACTATTCATGATTCCATCAAAAAATTGAACAATTGATTTTGATTGTATTGGGAAATGGAAGGCAGTAATGATCTGCCTTTTGAAAAGCTTTTCCTATTATTATAGATAGATATCATTACATGTCTTGATTAGTAGTTTAATTTTTAATTTCAAATAATTTAGAATGATTTAACATAAATTTGTAATAGGTTTAAGGAATGATGCCTTAGGAATTGATTCCACATTTTTAAAACTTCCAAATTTTTTTCAAAATCAAAAAAATGAATAGAAAATACGAGAAGTATGAGATGATAAATAAATTTTTGAATTTTTTTTGGAATTTTGAAAGATGAATTCGCTTTAATTCAATAAATTTATTAATTATAGATTTTTGAAATCTACAGCATGTCTGTAAAATATATGGAAATTCAAGTTCTTTTCCAAAATTATATGAATTAATTGCTTTAGATGTTTATATTATTCAAACTAACTTTACATATATATGCCAATATCAATAATCTAAAATCAATCAAAATTAAACAAAATTCTCACTATTCTCCACAGAAATAAGCCTTATTTGGAAAATAATTGCAAAAAAATCGTATTATTTAAATCAAATACAATTTGGATTAGATCATCCTTATAAACATTGCATAAATAAGGAATTTCTGCTAGCATCATATGATAGCTTAAAGCCATATATAGTCAGAAAGAATCGTTTCAACCTAATTTCATAACTTCCTTCTTGAACTAAATGTATTGTGGCAATCTTAAATAGGTTTTCAGAAAAACAACAGAAAACAAGAAATTTTAAAAATAAAAACGTAATTATTAGATTTTATAAGTCCTCGATTGAGAATAATTACTTCTGCTCCTCCTTAGCCTTGGCAGCAGCAGCAGCTTCAGCAGCCATCTTGGCCTTGGCCTTTAATTCGTTCTGGATAGCACGCTTCTCAGCGAGTTCTTCGATCTTGCCGGAGTTAGCAGCAGCCTCGGCAGCCATCTTAGCCTTGGCCTTGAGCTCCTTCTGGAGTTCACGCTTCTTTTCCATTTCTTCAAGAAGGCCGGACTGAGCAATAGCTTCAGCTGTAACTCTGGCCTCTTCCTTCTGTTGTTTCTTGATTTCACGCTTCTTTTCCATTTCTTCAAGAAGGCCGGACTGAGCAATAGCATCTGCTGTTACTCTAGCCTCTTCCTTCTGTTGTTTCTTGATTTCACGCTTCTTTTCCATTTCCTCAAGAAGTCCAGACTGTGCGATAGCATCAGCTGTAACTCTGGCTTCTTCTTTTTGCTGTTTCTTGATTTCACGCTTCTCAGCCATCTGTTCAAGGAGTCCAGACTGTGCGATAGCTTCAGCTGTAACCTTGGCCTGGGCGGCTTGCTCTGGAGGTGCTTGTGGAACCTCTGGTGCTGACATCAGAAATAAAATGAAGTCGAGTTATGAAAAAATTTGAAAGAACATCAACGGTTGGACAAAAAATTTGAGAAAATTCTCATAAAATCAATCCCTATCCTGTTTCTTTTGTTTTTGAGGGCTGTGTATACTGGTTATTACCATAATTAGCTTTCGATTCGTTTATTTTGTTACCTCATGTTTCTTTTACATTCATATCGTCATTTGCGAGCATTTCGAAACAATTTATATCTATTTTCCGATATTTAAAAGATTTTAAAATTAAAATTTTTGATATCGGAGGATAAAATTGATAAAATGCTGTATTGCAAGTATCGAAATCCACGAAATTGTGAAATGAAGTTACGTATGCCACAGTTTACATCATAAGGGATTCAACCCGCGACGTTCAATTGTAAAATCGATGTTATTTACATCAAAATGATATTTCATATATGAATTAACTCTTACAAGCCAAATATTATTATATTTTGCATAGAAGATTTCATCTTTGTGCAAACAATCTTCAAATTGTTTACAAACGGATTTAGTCAAATATTTCTAAGATTTTGTTAAGACGGCCAATTTGGTGCGAACATTATTATTCGTATCATTGATATCAAGTTAACAGGTGTATTTTTGGGATAAATTGCTATTCCATCATATCACATCTGAAAAGACTATTATTTTCTAGAATCTCCTTCTCCATTTGTTGACGTGTTGAAAGACTAAAACAAATCCAATCTTCTTATTGATTCATGATTGTACCGAAAAATTTTCGAAATTCGATTACGTTTCTTTAATTGTTTTTCTATTCAAAATGACATACCATTAATAAACATTACAAAATAATCTTGCTTTTCTTATCCAATATTGTAGTTTTTTTAAAAATCTTATTTTATATTGAGGATTTTTGAACCATGAATTTTCACCCATGCTTGGAAAGATATCGTAAATCCTTCTATCACCAAAATGCTCACTTTTATACTGAGATCTACATCATCTACATTCTAAAAAAAGTTCTGATATGCAATCAAGCTAGAAATAGTTTTTACACATATAGTATTTTAAATTATTTGAATCATGGGCTTCAGAATAGTTACAATTATATACTCCCTATGCAGCACATCAATATAAGAAGATTTATCGCAATAATGAGCACTACATTGTCAATATGTTTTGAACATTAAAGCATTTGAATGTATTACGTTATTGAATCAATGAAGAAAATTAAATGTAAATAAATATTCATAGAATTTTGTTTAATGAAGGCATAGCGATCAGGTAATTTGTTTCACTTATATTTATGAAAAATGAATATCAGACATAAACATTCAACGATAGGCCTTATTTGGCTCCCTTGTAAACCAATAAAAAATGAGTGAATCTACGAATTTTGAGTGGGGAGCAGTTGTTATTTTGATATTAATTGCTTTCATCCTTTGTATATGGATGTATACAATATTTATCCACAGGCAATCCATCAAAACTCTTCCAAATCATATTATATATTTCAAATCTTCTGCAAAACAGATCGAAAATCAACTCCAAAAATCTTCCGCAAAATCTCAAGCATCATCAAAGACAGGACCTCAAAGACAATTTTTGGATTCTGCGCCATTCCCAGAATTCAAAGTATTTTTACCAGAAGAAATCGCTCCATATGGCAGCAAAACCATTTCACAGCCAAATATCAATTATTCCAAAGATACTACATCAATGGTTTCCAAAGAAACAGTACCAAAATCTCAACAAAACGATTACGAACCAGTCCGCAGAACTCCACAGTCATCAAATCTATTTCAGTCCATCCAGAAAGACGCAGAAAAGCTTCATGATGATACAAAGAAGGCTGAGAAAGAGAGAAAATTAAAAGAAAAGCAAGAGAAAGAAGAAGCCAAGAAGAAGGCTGAAGAAGAAGCAGCCAAGAAGGAAGAAGAACAAGCCAAATCTACTCAAAAGAAGCTAAGTACAGGCGGCTTAGGAAAGATTTCATTAGGAAACTTACCAAAGCTTACGTTGAAAGCAGAAACAAAGACAGATGAAAATAAGACAGAGGAAAACAAAGCTGCACCAACAAAGTCAAATGAAGCAAAAACTGAAGAAAAGAAGGCATAATTTTCATTTTGTATCAATTAGCGTATTGAATTTATTATATACTTGTAAACCTGATAGAGAATTTATAATTTTTACTCTTTTTTTCTTAATATTTCTATCAATCACTAATAATTTTTAAATTTATACGTATTTACTATTGAACAATCAAAAGCATGAATTATGGATCTATTGCCTTTGAGAGATACATCTAATTTTCAATAATTTATGAAATGATCCAAAAGATAACAATAAAATGAAGTTTTATAAAACAAAATATATTTTTACATAACAAATAGAACTAATTTTTGAACAGGGTTCTTTCTAACAAAGTAAACAAATAAACAAGTTGAATATGTTAATAATATAACAAAATAGGAGCAAAATTACAGAGTATCATTGAAATACTCCTTTGCATTGAAAATATTTCAATGAAATTGAAAAGAATATCACACATATTTGATCGAAGCTCTTCCATTTGCTCCAGTATGCGTTCTTTGACCGCGTCGAGAGTTAATTGGCGTGACTGTAGGTGTTTTATGAGGTCCCATTGGGCGAAATGTTGTTCGGCGAGTTTCGGCTTGAGATGTTTTTACAGCTCTAAGCTGTTCTGTAGTTACATCATTTTTGAGCTCATTGTATACATCCATAGCGAATTGATTGGCAATAACTTGAATCATAGTTTCCACGTCTTGGACAGTTGTTGTATCTTCATCGATAGAACCAAAATTGGCAAATAATTGCCCGGTTCCGTCAGATGGCGTTGCAAAGACAGAACGCCACTGGTTACATTCTCTCCAAACATTCGGCTCGTTAAAAACTGTTGACATTAAAAATTTTTAAAATTATAGGGGGAAATAATAAATATTTTAGGGATAAATTTAAAAAGACGTTAAATGTCACGTTTTTGTTCTATTTTCATCAATAAAAACAGGAACTTAGAATTACATTTCCATGACTGAAGATACTGTCTTGCTGGATAAAATCCAGAAGGAAAATAGCATGGAAGAAATCAAGCAAGTTTTTGCAGAAAATTTGAGACTTTCAAATGAAATACGAGCTTCTCAAGCCGAAAAGGATGATTTATCAAGAAGACTTCAAATATCATTACAGAAAATTCAAGAATTGAACAAACAAATAAATGATCAGAAAAATATTCATTCGCAAATTCAAGAAGATTGCATCAAATCTTACGAAAAGCAAAAGGAGAATGACGAAATACAATTTCAGAAGAAAATCAACTGCTTAAAGACAGCATTATCCGAAAAAGAAAAAACAATTCAGTCATTTGATGCAGCACTTAATACATATCAATATCAAATTGATCAAATATGTAATGCTGCATCATCTTACTTCGGAAAAACCATAAATGATGCAGAATCCGTTATCAAATTATTATTGTTACCAAAAGACATAGATGAGCAGCCACCAATAACCCAACCTCCACCAGAACCTATTATAATTAAAAAGGAATCTAAAAAGGCTAAGCTATACGAAGAGAAGTTAAATGAATCAGAACAACTTCGAAAAGATAACGAAGCAGCATTTATACGCAAGATAGATTCAATTGTAGACACATATGAAAAGAAATTAAAGGAAAGAGAAAGCAATATTCAAGATTTGAATCTTCAAATTCGTTCATTGAAAGAAAAACTCGAACAATCCAATGATCTTAAGGGTGAAATGCTTAAAAATCAATCAAAAGAAAAGGTACAATACCAGCTTAGTGTTAACGAGTTAGAAGCACAGAAATTGGAAGAAATTTCAAAATTAACAAAGAAAGTCAACAATTTGGAGGAAAACCTTCAAAAAGAACAAGATAAATCCGAATTATTAAAGAAACAACTTGTCATAACAATGAAGAAATACAAATCCACTGCTAAACAATACGATGACTTGAATTCAGATTTCGAAAAGCTTAAATCTACAGAAAGACAACTGAACAATGAAAACAAACAGCTTATATTAAAAGTTAAACAGTTAGAATCGAATATTTCTGATGCCAACGCAGATTTACTTTCTTATCAGAAGAAAAATGAGGAGTTATCAGGACAAAACAGAGCATATCTTAATGATTTGAATCAGAGAGCCGTCGACCTCGAAAAAATGAAAGTAACACTCTCTCATTATTTAGAAACAAATAATCAAGTCAAAAGTGAGATAGCTACAGCAAATAGTGATAAGCAAAAACATATGGAGCAGTTAAATGATAGCATTAAGTTGATAGAACAGAAAGAAAAACAAATTCAAGAATTAAATAATCAATTAACTGAATTACGAAAGGAAAACAATAGTGTCAAACTGAAACTAACAACTCTATCACAACCAATTAAAGAGGATGAGCTTATTCCTTTGGCTTGTTGGTCATGCTCTCTGTTTCCAAAAGAATTACAAAATATTTTATCTGATTTAGCAAGAAATAGAACTATTCAAGCTCCAACAAAGCTTAGGCATTACTTAACAATGATCGCAGAATGGTATAACAATCAAATCGATAGGGTAGAATCCGAAATTTCAAAAATTAAAATTGAATCCGAAAAATCTAACATAATGAAGAAAGAATTTGCTCAATCAATGAAAACATTACTTCCAACATATGATATTGACTTCACTAAAATCATTGATTGCTGTGAAGAAAGACAAAAATTTGTCAATTTTATTCAAAAAACACAGATAAATCTAAATCTTGCTAAAGCATCATCCGATGAAAAAGAAGCACAGTTGTCAGGTCTATTAGTTGCCATGCAAGCAAGTTCTCCAGAAGAAGCACATTCATTTATTGGCTCAATGTCTGAAGAAGTCAATAATCTTAATGATGATGTCGAAAAAACATTGAGGAAAATGGAGAAGCAAAAAGCAAAATTCGAGTCAATAGAGAAGGATTTGAAGCAACAAATCGATGATTCAAACAAACAAATTGATAATCTAAAAGCTCTCTTGAAGAATTCAGAAGATTCATTCGAACAAATAAAGAGAAAGAGTAAAAGTGAAAAATTCGAATTTTCTCAAAAAATTCAAGATTATGAACATAAAATACATGAGTTGGAGCTAATTAATGAAGCTAAAGTTGCAGAGTTACAGAATGCCAATGCACAATCACTTGAATTAATGGGAATTGAGAAGAAGAAAAACGTTTCTTTCACAGAAGAAATCGAAAAACAAAAAGAAGAAAATGAACAGTTGAAGGAAACAATTCAGATGTTAACGAAACAGAAGAACAAAGCAATTAAAGATATGAAAGAAGAAGTCGATCAAAAGCAGGACCAATATAAAATGGAACAACATAAATTGCAATCCGAAATTACACTTTTGAAAGAACAAATTTCCAAAGTTGTTGATGAATACAAGTTACAAATCGAAGATTATAAGAGTTCTATTGCTGCCCTATCAGAATCTAAGGTAGCAGTTGAAAATAAAAACAATGAAATTTTATCAAATAATTCAAATTTGCAATCTGAGAGACAAAAACTTTTACTTCAAATCCAATCGCTTAAAAATGAAATAGAACGCGAAAAGAGATTATCAGAGACTCAAATTAAAGCTAAAGAATCTCAGTTATTAGCTGAACAAAATAGAATCAATGAATCAATGAGAGTGAAAAGCGAAACCGAAAAACAAAACATATTCTCAAAGGTTGCAAATGAATTCTGCACATTGTTTGACGTTTCAACTACTAGACTAAATGAATCCAACTTCGACATGTTCCTTTCGAATATTAGGAATAAATTAAATGAATTGTTGACAGTTGAAACAAAGCTTAGATTGCTTTTAGCTCTTGGACCTCAGCAGTCAATTGTTGATGCTGTCTCACAACTACTGCTCTCGAGTTAGATAAATGTTATTTATTTTTTTGTTAAATTATTTTCTAAAAATATGTTTATTTTTTATCTCATGATTCACATGATGTTTCTATTTCAAAATACAACTCATTTTGATAACGACATTAGTTGAAAAACCATCTTATTTCCTCATATTTCAATACCTCCCTAATCTTTTATAACTTAATATGAATGTTATTACTTCAATGAACTTATTTTAGCGTAATTCACTATTTAACTGAGCGAAACTTCTTAATTACCAAAATAAGAAAACTATTCCAAATAAATATATTTTAATTCTAATATTTTCAAAATCACATGCAAACCCATCATTAGTAGGATTCATTAATACACCATATTATTAGCCTTTTACTCCTTTGGCTACGAAATCTATCTTTTCTTATCAATACTTGGGAAAATATGGAATCGCATGTCGCATGCCAATTTCATGGGAGATTGCTAGCCATGTAGGAGCCAATTGTCAGAAAAAAAAAGAAATGTTAAGTGAAAAAAAAATATAATGTAAACGAAGTAAGTCTTTAATGAGCAGTAATTACTAGTTTGGATAAATTTTACTTAAATTATTTAAAATTGAAAAAGAACGCTTTAGACGAGAATCTTCAAATATTCCTCAGCGCAGTTACGAGCACGCTTTGTGAGTGTAATCTTCATATCTGAAAGTTCCTTGTCGACATCAGTAAGGAATGTGATGATGAATTCGATTAACTTGGAAAGAATCATTTGTTCTGTGTGAACGTTTGTAACAAGGAAGGAAATATCGTAACCTTCAATTGGTTTACGACGGATGATACGGAATTGATCAGCACGCTGAGCAAGGAAGCGCATGAACATTTTTGCAAGAATTCTGTCGACATCATCGATTTGCTTTACTTTTACGGAAATGCGGACACTGTTGATAGCTGTTTCGATGTAGACCTTTTCGTACTGTGAACGAGAAATCAAAAGTGGGCGAGCAATGACTTCTGGTGTCTTGCCGATTTCAATTTCGGGCTTGTTTTGGCGCTCAATTTCCTGTGAGGCAAAATTACGAAGGCAGAGTGATGCCTGAAGTGTTCTGCGAATAGCTGCAAGGTATGAGGCTAATGGATTTGCCATTCTCTTTGATTCAAGTGCAAAAAAGTGACACGATTTCAATGGTTTATTTTATAATCGGTGACTTGACATGCGCAATATGCCCGTCAAAGACCACGCTCGAATTTTAGATCCTTTTATGGAAATATATTAATGTTAAATGAAATTCCCCATCAAAACATATATTTTTCTCATAATTTTTGAATTTTTACTTTTTTCGACTTCTGATTTGTGTAATTATGCGAAGGGTTAGAAATTACATCATCAATACACTTGAATTTTTATAAGAAAAATATACTTATCCAGTAGAAAAATAAAAATTCTTCAACTCTCATTATATTTTTATTGAAAATATCATGCTTTTACAGATACAAATGTCGATCAATTTGAATTTAATTAGATAACATTCAAATGTTATTCAGAATTTGAGATTTCAATCAGAAATGCGAGATCATAAAGGGGAAATCGTTTCCATTGTAATCATAACGGACTATTAGGTCGAGCATATTATGGAAAAACTTAATTATTTTAATAAAATTATAAAAAAATCGAAAATTACAAATAATTACCTTTAAACAATATAATAAACACAATTAAGCAGCCTTACCTATTCTCATCTTGCCTTCCATTGTATGTATTCTATAGCCAAATGAGTCGATTAATCTTGCAAGGAAGAAACCACCGCCAAAGATGCAGAACAGGCGAGAAATAAGAATGTATATAGTAAACCTATCTGGTTTCCCAACAACTGCGACAGTTGCAAAGTAATAATTGAAAAAGATTCCTTCACCAAGCCTTGTTCTATCTGTAATTGGTATTTTAGCACTGTCAACAGCGTACTGGAATCCGTGGGTGATAGAGCCGTCCTGATTATGCATAACAGTGGGAACAGCCTTTAAATCGTATCTGTAATGGAATTGTCCGGGTTCTGACTGTACAATAAGTGCATCATCGAGTGGTTGAGGACCAAAGGAAGTTCCAAATGTGATGTGATCGATGTAATGAGTAAGATTTAATAATTTAGTGAAAGGTTCTTCATTAGAAGAGAAACGAGGCAGGATTCTGATACCACCATCGATAGCGCTAACATGATGGTTACCAAATATTTGGCATTTCTCTTTACCTGTGAAATCATATTTTTCATTTATGCATTGCTGCCATGTAGTTACGTTTGTAAGTGGTCTTCCTGCTTTTATGTGGTGAGAAACAACGTCTTCGCATGTATTGCAACAACGAGATCCTTCTGCAAACTCAGTTCCATAACATGAACCACAATTTTGGGAAACTTGAGAGTATGGAATTGGATTTCGATTATTATCTAGACGCAATTTATAGATGCTTTTTGAATTAGGGTCTGTTAATGTACCTAAAACATCATAAATGTCTATAGAAACTAAAATGCATGGTAAATCTACTGAAAAGTTGAAAGAAATCGTAAAATCAGATAAAGCATCGGATAATTCTGAAAGTGAAACAAGCTCTGACTTGATTGGAGGGTAAACAAATGAATAAATTTCGAAAAATGAAAGTGCTGCCACAGCTGCGATAGAAATGATTGAAATAATAGCACCACAAGTTGTCTTATGGACCATACTTGCATCAATAAACTTTGGGAAGAAATCAAACATTTTTTTAAGATTTGTCACTTTTTAATCTTTTTTCTCCACTTCGATAAATAACAGAATTATGATCAAACAAACAGTCATAAACTGTTGGATGATAATGTCTAATAAAATATGCCTATGAAATACTATTCATATTTCAGCTTAATGTCAATATCTTTACCATAATCTTGCCAAATTTACATTTTGTATGACTTAATATACTATTCTTAATAATGTGACGAAATAGAAATTCTTACCTCATCCATTTCATGCAGAAATATATAAGTTTTAAGATATTTTCTAAGATCTGCTTCTAACTCATATAAAAAGAATAGCATCACTTCACCAAGCATTATAAATAGTAGATGTGTGATCAATATTAAACTTATCAGTTTCATAATAAGTGTATTTCTCATTAAATCTTCATATATAATACTATTGAAGAATGATATAACCAATGTAATGATATATGAGATAAAACAAACATATGTTCATTGATAAAAACTATAAGAATCCTAGCAAAATGAAGAAATTTGCGATAAGATTTCTTTAAATAATGATAAAACAAAGAGTGGGATATATATTGTATATAGAACTTTTAAAATATAAATAAGAATAAAACAAACAACTAAAAAATAAAAACAAATTAAAATTAATTTCCGGTCTTGCGTTGATAGTAAATCAAAATAAGCTTTTGTTGAGCCTTAGACAAATGAGTTATCCTTTTATCAATTTGTTCCTTACCCAACACGATACATAACTCGACGAAGCACATTACAACAGATTTACGGACTTCAGGGGCTGGTGATTCGAAGCACTTAGATAGATCAGGAATCAATGAATCAACAACGTTTTCAACAATACTTTTGTCCAATTTCGGAAATGATCTTGTGCAAAAGTCAATGGCTGCTTTAGATATAGCCATATCTGATGATCCCATGTAAGTCTTGATGCAATCAAAGACATCCGATGGCTTCAAAACTTTCATTACTAATCTTAATGCTGCATCAGCGTTTTTCGTATTAACAGGACCATGAGCTTGAGTTAGTAAGCCAGGGACAACTATTTCGAAGTCTTGACAACCTCTCTGCTGGAATGTTTGTTGAATTAATTTCATAATTAATTCAACTTCTTTTGACTTGATCAAAGCAGTATTCAGCTCATGGAGATACTTAGTACGAATAGTATTCCATGTTTCTCCACTCGATGTCTTGAGAATTTCTTCCATTTTCGGCAAAAATTCTGCCAAATTTTTCTCAGAAAATTTTGGTATTTCCATGTCAAATTTATTGACTAATTCGGGAATGAAAGGAGCTGCGAAATCATGGAATTGCTTCTGTTGTGTTTCCCTCAACCCTTCAATAAACCTCAGCACGCTTTCTTTGTTCGCTTTGTAGACATTTTGCACTATCATTCCTGCAGTATTTCTGTCTTTTACGTCTCCAAGATTATGTGTTTTGAAGGCATGATTTAACAGTCTGTGGCTTGTTCTTTGTGCGCTGATATTCGCTCCTTGGCTTACGAGGTTTGCCAACAGCAAGGTGATTGATAGGGAAGGGACTTGTTTCAAGGCGACATTTATGACTTCGTTGATATCTAATGCTTGTGGCAATGCCATGAACAATTGCTGAGCAGCATTTGATGATCTTGGATTTCCAACAGTGATTGATTCTGTCAAAACATCAAGTAATCGCTCTAGAATTTGGCCGGTGAAGTAAGATGGGAATGCAGTGACTAATGATTTCATTGCCGTCAATGCTTGGGATGATATAAGAGCCGAATTCGATGAGCAACATTGTAAACAACCATCAACAACAAATTTGATGTTGGATTTGAGTTCTTGAACGCGCCCATCATCGATATCACCCTGAAGAGTCTCTAGGAACATTGGTTCTTCGCCTTCGAGCAAGTGATCGTTGTTTTCGGGTTCTTGACGGCGACTTTCAAATTTTTCGGAATTGTGAGGTTTACTTTTCCTATTTGATGCGCTTGAATGACTTGCCTGTGGTCGGTCAAATACAGAAGGATTCTGTTGAGATCGAGGACTAAGTCTCGATTCTGGTCTATAATCTTGTGATGTTAAATTTTCAGTAACTTTATTAAAAACACTTAAATCACTTGTTCTTGTTTCCATAAAGTTATAATCATCATATTCATGAGGTGCGTATGTCTTTGGACGTCTTGGGGATTGTTCTTCTGCTGATTTCTTTATAGCTGTCTTTGGCTTTTCATCAATTTCTTTGGTTTTTCGCATTCCTATCCTTGTGTCACTTTTTTGTTTTTTAATGGGAGGAATAACTTCATCTTCCTGGTTTTTCTTTGGCTTTTCTGAAATTGATGATGCATTATGACGCATTCTTGATCCAACAGATTCGGATCTCTGCGTTTTGGCCGTTGTTTCCAACTCCTTTTCTTCTTTTTGACGTCGGGAAGACAAAGGAGTTTCATTTGTTTTCTTTCTTGTTGTAGGTGTTGACATAGTACTTGCTCTATCGTCGGCACGACTTTCTAGACGCTTTCCAAATGTCGTAGTATTGAAATTCGTGTCTTTTCTGGCTTGTTGACTCGTTGTTGTTCGTTTTGGTTGTAAAGATGGAGCTCTATGCTCTCTTGATGATAAATCAGAACGTGTAGTAGATGCAACGCTGGGAGCGCGCTTCCTCTTTTCAACAGAACCTATTCTTTCGTCGCATGTTTCAATTGTCTCTTGAGAAATCGATTTCTTCGTTCTGGCATCGCAATTAGAAAGTATAATATCAGCAGATTTGGGTAATGCTGTTTGGAGTGCTAGTACTGTTTCGCGGGCTTTCTGTCGGACTAAAGAGTTCGCATCAGAGATTAATTTTGAAATAGTATCTTCGATTTGTTTTGAATATTTTGAAAGAATTTCGATATTCCATCTGATAATTGTTTGTTTTAGTGCTTCTGCAGCACATTCTTTCATTGCAGATCCTTTTGACTTCGTAATATCAAAAATAGATAGCATTACTCTCCGGGAAGGACAAAATTTAGCAATAGTAATAATAGCATAATAGCTACTCTCTGCAATAATCTGTGTACCGTGTGAAACTCTCGATATCAAAGACGAAATGAAATCACCTACTAAATCAATTTCTTGACCTACTTTCATTGCAATTAGTGCGATGCATAGACATGCGTTTTTAACAAGAGCGCTTCGCAAATCCAATGCTGTTTGAATGATACCGAGAGATAGACGATTTAATCCTTTGTAGAAAGATTCATATTGAAGTGCACCGCCATTAATTAAACCCATGATACGAATTAGGGCATTTTGCTGTTCATCCCATTCGACTCCTTTATCTAGTTTTTTTTCTAATGAGTTAATTTCTTGTTCTGCTTCAGAATCTGAAGTTATTTCAATTGGATCGATATCAGAACCAGGATTTTCGAAAATTGCACGTGTTTGTTGCGTTAAATCTGTAGTTGTTGGATATTCTTCGGATTTTTGGCGCCGAGTTTTCATTAAAAAAATTCTTATAAAATAAACGGACGCTTTTCAAACATGTTGAAAAGTTTTTTACTTGATTTTCTTCGCACAATTGCTTTCCTTATAATTCATTGCTTAAAAAAAATCTTATTCTCTAATTCCATAAGAGATATCATGGAAATTCCCAGGGTCATAGTCATGGTCGAAATCTTTGTTGTCAATAAAGCTCCTCTTCATTTTTTAAAATTACCGCTAAGTTGAGTGATAGTTTGGACAGGATAAATTCCTGAAAACTTTTACTGCATTACTGCATAAGCCTAAAAATTCAAACCTCCACAGCAAGCCGCCTTGGATCGAAAAGTGAAGATCAAAATCGAATATGCTCATTAATTTTTTTTTCTTTTTCCTCCAAGTTCTTCTATCCTTTTTTCCTCTTTTCCTATTCAAATATGTTTGCCAATTTCAAAGTTATTGCATTTTTACAAATTTAATTTTGCATCTTTCAAGTTTTACAGATATTAAATCGCGATGTTTATTCAAAATCGGATAATTTTTAATGTAATAACGAATATATAGTAATTTTTTGAAGTTATAAATAATATTTTTAATTGCAGTTGTTTTGCTTTCTTATTTCACAAAGTACTAGTTCTGGCTTCGAATATCGAAATGAAAGTAATGAAGTCATTGTTAATTGCTCCTCAGATTTAAATGGTCAAAATTATAGTTGATTATGCCTTCAAGAATTGTCAGAATTCAATCACATCAATTAGTTTTGAGGAGGATAGTAAAGTTATCAGTATTGGTAGTTACAGCTTCTATAACGCAAAAATAGAAACAGCAAATCTCAGTAATTGTAATAAACTTACATTGCTTAACGAATCAGTCTTCGGATATTGCCGATTCTTGACCTTAATTTTACTTCCACAAAATATTTCAAGTATTGGACGTGACTGCTTTCTTTGGGCTTCATCTCTTCAATCAATAGATTTACCAGATTCAGTAGAAACTATATATCGCGCCGCATTTTCATATAGTGGTTTAACAACCATTAAAATTTCGAAAACTTCTAAATTATCAAAATTAGACTCAGTTTGCTTTACTAACACAAAACTTTCGTCATTTTTTATTCTAAAATATCTAAAAGATTTAACATTCGATTCATTTGATGGCTGCCAATATTTAGAAAATATAACATTGGACCCTGAAAATCAATATTATAAATTTGAATCAAAAACTCTATTTTCAGGAGCAGATAATTCAACATTATTTAGGGTAATTAATACATATTCAGAAAGTGTTTATGTCGTTCCTCCTTACGTAATAAATATTTCCAAAAATTGCTTTTATAAATTAAAAATTAAATCTATTCTACTTCATAACAAAATTACTTATATTGGAAAATATGCATTTTATGAGTGCAAATCATTAACAAGTATTACACTTCCAGAAAATGTTATATCGATTAAAGATTATACATTTCAATATTGCACATCACTAACAAGTGTAACTCTTCCAAAAAATCTTCAAAATATTGATGCTGCTGTATTTGATGGATGTACCTCATTAAGAAGCATTGTTTTCCCAGAGAGCTTGAAAATAATTGAAATTTGGGCATTTTATCAATGCACAAGCTTAAACAATATCACATTCCTTAATAATTCCAATTCAATCATATTTGGACTTAACCCATTTTTGGATATTTTAAATCCAGTAAATATATATGTTCCAGGCATGCTTAAAATTATTGAGGGAGTTCCAGAGGTTTTTCCAAAAGGGAGCCATTTATATATAACAAATCAAACAATTTTATTATCTTGTGTTAAATATATATTTGGGGAGAAATTTTTTCATGTTCACTTTGATGAACCACTTAAAATTTCAGATAAATCAACAATTGATACCATCATATACATATCTATTGAGGATCTATCTTTTCTTCAGATTAAGCCTAAAACAATAGATGACTTTATATACGATCATGGTATTTCTGCTTTTCTCTCGTCTTTCATCATTAGCATTATTCCACAGTCTTAAACTTAAAAATCTTAATTTGTTTTATTGATCTTCAATTTTTCCATAACTTATATTTGCAGCCATCAGAAATATGAGATATTAAAAGAATCCAAATCTATATATATATATATATGCAAATTCATATGAGTCATAAGCAGAGTTTTTTATAGAGTTGATTGATGAATCCATATATCTCTATGCATAGAGATATATCTATATGCATCACAATATATCTCTATGCATCACAATAAAGATATATGCATTTCAATAAGTATGTATGCATTACAATATAGATATATGTAACACGATAATGACATATGCATCACAATATAGATATAAGTATAACTAAGTAACAATATTTACTAGTATGAAGCGCTAAATTAAGTTGCTATTATAGTTATAGAAAAAAATAACCCATTAATTAACATCATTATTATAATAACAATAAATCATTATATAATTGAAGATATTAATAGGATTATATAAAATTTTTTAACAATAAAATTTGAAATTTATATTTTTGTTGAAAAAAAGTGAAACAATCAGTTAAAAATTTAAAAGTAAACTTGACAAGAATTTTATTCCTTAAGAATTAACGTCCTATAAACTGTGTTTAGAGATGGATCAGAATTTGAAAGGTATTCTTGGGCTTTCACCTTAAAAGAGTTGAACACATCAGGCTCCGTATGATTTTCAAGCAAAGAAGCAGCATAAAATATATAAATAACAGAATCAATATCAGGAAGAGCAGCAAGGAGCTGAACAGCCATGGCAAGGAATAGCTTGGCATGCCCTTTCTCAGCAATACCCTTGATAAAGGATTCGTAAGGCTTTTCTGATACTAAATCAACGTAATATTGTAAAATAATCTGGATAAGAGGTAGAATATGCTTAGTAAATGCTTCTTCGTTATCACTTGTTGTCATTACGTTCAAAATGTTTGCAAGTCCAGCGAAACTCTTTCTTCTCATCATTGGGTTGAAATTGTCGAGAACAGACTTAAATGAGGACTCCAGCCACTCCTGATCGATCTCAGGGGATATAAGTATTTTAATGGCTGAAAAAGCAATTGTAGGATTCGAATGTTTTGTTAATACGTATAATTTCTTTGCAACAAAGGCAAAACTTGTTTCTGGATTATGCTTCTTGACAAGTATCATCGATATGCATGTAGAAAAGCTATCTCCTTTGAGATTTAAGATTCTTTCGATAACTTTCGGTTCATTCGTTCCGAGGTTAGCAATTGCGAATAATAAAGCTTCAGAATAGAAGCCTCCTTTTTCTAGAATGCTATTTTCGACCTCTGGATAAGCTGTTCTGTGTCTGGCGAGGAATTGCAAAGTTAAGAAGTTTGTGAAGTCTTCTTGCTTTGCAATCTTGACCAGATCATCTGGTAACTTCGCAACACGTCCAAGGAAGTGAATTAACCTTTGTTTGAACAAAGGTGGTAAAATTTGATAAATTCCGGCTAATTTCTTTGACATTCCTTCAGAATTGAGTATCTTTGCAGTCACATTATCGAAATCAGGAAGATCTACAAGTAATGTGACAACTTCGTGAACAAGAGGCTCTAATGGAGAAGTTGTTTCTTTTCCGAAGAGTCCTTTCTTCGAAACCTTCGTAATTTCTTTCGGAGGCATGGAAAGTATGTGGATGATTGTATCTGAAAGTAAATCAATGCATTTATCAAGTTTTGAACCTAAGAAGAATAAAACGCGGAAAAGAAACGGAGCTTGTTCGGTAAATTTGTTTGCCATGAAGCTGATTGATATTTTCTTGAGTAACTCTGGAACACGAGCGGATGTTTGAACAAATTGTGAATGAGAGATTAAATGGAAGCATGTAAGCTTAAAACATTTGGTTTCTTCTTCCATTTCTCTCATGAGGATCTCACAAAGTGGGCCAATATAGTTAGGCTCTGGAGAATAAAAACATAAGTTTTTCAATGAGTGACGAAGCTTTTTAGCTGGTTCCTTTGGATTATTAAGGGATTGAGTAATGCTTGTGATGGCTTCAATTGTCGATTGATGCTTTAATGTCGTTGCATTCTCTCCAGTAATCAGCATTTTTTTTATTGATAAGTTTTTTTTATATCTATCTATCGGTCTAAAAAGGTGACAAATAATCTTCGCTATTTTTTTGATTCGAAGCCAATTTTCAGTTCATATTTAATATAGTACTCAAGATGACATTTTCAAAATGATAATTGAATAGTTGCGCATCACATCAAAATGCAAAGGAGACGTCGCATTATATTTAATACAATAACTTCCCACACCAGTATGCTTTTATCGCAAGGATACAAATATATACATCAAACTTAATCGTATACTGTGTAGCGTGGTTTTATTCAATCTCAATGAGATGAATATAGGACCAACAAGGAAGCTTCAGCTATTCATTCATTTATACTTTTGAAATACTACAATAAAAGGCTAAACTGACTGATATACTTTTTTCATATAAAAAAATATAATAATAATTTTTTTTTCCTAAATTCTATTTAGAACACACAGCGTATTTATGTTCTCGATTTTTGCAATATACAAATATGAAGTTAATACAAATATTCTAATTTTTAATCTGAATATTATAATTTTGTAATGAATTGAAAAAAATACATAATATTTTATTTAAAATAGTTATGCATTTTCTTGAAACAACGACAATTTATCAATTTTACATTTATTCAAAAAAAAATCATTTCATAGTACCGGGGAGTGTTGGCATAGCACCATCACCTGTTAAATTCTGGTTTTGAGTCTTCTGCATCTTCTCTTTCATCCTATTATAAGCCTTCTTTTCAGAGAACTGCATATCACGAGCTTCTCCAAGTTGTTTTGTGAAAACTTCGTATTGAGATTGATATTCGGCCAATTTAGACTGTTGTGTGTTCAATTCAGCAGCCATAGCCTTTAATTGTCTATCTTTCTGTTTGACTTTTAGCTGCAACTGTTTGAGTTTGTGGAGCATTTCAGGTGAAGGCTGTTCGCTCATCAACTTCTGTGTAGACTCCATTTGTTTCTTCAAGTCTGCGATTTCTTTCTTTGTGTTGACGATCTCCTCAGTCTTCTTGATCAAGCGATGTTGCAACTGCTTGATCGTCTTGAGAAGCTCTGCTGGCGGTGGATCTTCATCGTAAAGATGGCGCCATCTGTGTGGATTGTTAGGATCTTCGAGTTCTTCGGAAAGAGCTCTGACTCTCGTCTGTTCTTGGACTAAGTCTTTTTGTAATGTAACGACTTTGGCTTCTAATTCTGCTGTTTGGTCGCATTGTCTTTGCAAAATCAAGTTCTTTCTCTGTGTGTCTTTGATGAGACGCTGAAGTTCATTGGCATCTTCGCATCTCTTGTTGTACTCGATCTCGCCTTTCTTCAAAGTATCTTGAAGAATCTTGATTTTCTCGTATAACAATGCAATTTCGTCGTTTCTTCGGATCAACTGTGTTCCAAGAACATCTCTCTCTTTCATCATGCGGAGTTGCTCTTGAAGAAGGGCTTGGCGCCCTTGATCGGCCTCTTTGATACGGTCCTCAAGAACTTTAAGCTCTTCCTGATGCTTGTTCATCGTTGCTTCGGACTCTTGGAAGGCTGCTTTAAGACGTTTCATTTCACTTGTCAGTTTTTCTTTCTTTCCTTCAGCTTTCTTGAGTTCGAAGTGCTCGGATGAGTATGTGTCTTCTTTTGCACGGATTTCGGTCTTAAGTTGGGCGGCTTGTTGGGTCATATCCTTGAATTTCTTCTTCAAATCTGCATTTGTGTCTTGGGCAGAGACCAATTGCTTGTTGTAGTTGTTCCTTTCAACACGCAATTGCTCGTATTCCTTCTGTTTAGCTTTGAGCTCTTCATCTGCAGCTGCAATTAATCTTTGGGTATGATTCAACTGGATTTCGCTCATTTTGGCTTCTTCCTTCGCTTTGATGTATTTGGTTTGTGCATCAGCGGCTTCTCTGGCGCATTGCTCTCTCTTCTTCTCTAAATCTGAAATAATCTTGCGCATCTTGCCAGCTTCTGTTTGGTAATCGACGAGTTTGTCTTCAAGTTCCTTTCTGTGCTCTGTTTCTTCGGCCGTTAACTTCTTTTGTTGGTCAAGTTGAGTTTTTGTTGTTTGCTTGGTCTGCTCGAGGCTGGCGAGCTTCTTCTTCAACTGCTCGTGCTCTTCATTGTTAGCACTGAGGCTGCGGTTGAGCTCTGCAATTTCCTTTTCCATTCCGGATACTTCAGTCTTAAGAGTTGCGAGTTCTGCTTCATCCTGGTTACACATGTTACGAGTCTGAATGATGTTCTGCTGTAAGGTGTGGTTTTCACGTGTTTTACGGTCAATTTCATTTTTGATTGATCTGATTTCTTTTTCTTTCTCCTGTAATCTGTCTTCGAGAGCCTTAAGATCATTTTGGAGTTCTTTGTTCTTGGCTGTTTCTGTCTTGATTTGAGCATCGATTTCTTCTTCCTGTAATTTGGCTTGTTTGTTCTCTTGGTTGACTTGTTCGATGCTTGCCTTAGCTTCAGTAATCTCTTGGTTAAGCTTCTCTTCTTCTGCAGCAAGAGATGCAAGATCTTTATTCTGATTTTCGATTTGAGAAGCAAGTTTTTGCTGAGATGCCTGCAATGATTGGAGCTGCTTAAGAAGTCTGTCACGATGGAGTGATTCGTGCTCAACTTGTGCGCGCTTCTGTGTAAGAGTTCCTCTTAAATGTTGAACTTTTTGTTCCATCTGTAATTTTTCTTGTTCAGCTGCACGGTGTTGCTCAAGAACAGTTGTAAGTTCGTTACGGAGTTGAATGATTTGATTGAGTTGGTTATCACGTTCACGAATAAGAGTTTCCTTTTCTTGCAAGAGTTCTTTGACTGTATTATCGTGTCCGTAGCTAAGAAGGCCACCTTGTTCTACAAGCTGTGTAAGGTGAGCAATTTCAGCTTTCAAAGATTCAATCGTCTCTCCGGCTTTCTTTTCACGGCCTTGAGCTGTTTCGACCATCTTCCATGCTTTGTCAATTTCTTGATGTAAAGCTGCAATAGTACGTCTGTCTTGTTGAAGAAGTTCGAGGGAACGTTCAACTTTTGTAGAATTAGATAAAATTTCATCATTTAATTCACGGCATTTAGTAATAAGGCGCTTGTTACTTTCGTGTGATCGCTTTAAAGCTTTATGAAGACGTTCGTACTCATCTCTGAATTTTTCTAACGAACGATCTCCAATTAATTCTTGAATGACAGCCTGGAAATTCTGTTCGAGCTCCTCGTAGGCCTTGGTGTCAACAGCTAGTTCGTTGAAGTCACCACCGCCCGCAGCAGGAGCGCTGTTTTCCGTCATCTGTCTGTTATTCAAAAAAAAACAGACAATTCAAAATTTATCGAGTTTAAAGTGAATAATTAAATAATACTTATAAAAGAAATAAAATTTATATTAAAATGATGATTGCAATTAATAACGTTTTTTCTGTCATGTAAATTTGACAGAAATAAAGCGGCAGAATATTTGATAAGTTTACATTTTAAAAAAATTATGGCTTGCAGTAAATGGGAATATGTAAAAGATTTTGAGTTAGATGACAGACTTTTGCCATCTACTTATATCGTTGTAAGAGTTGATGGTCGTGGTTTCACAGAATTCTGTATTAATCACAATTTAGAAAAACCTTTAGATGATAGACTAATACGTCTCATGTCAAATTGCGCACAGAAAGTTATGCTAAAATTTGATGAAATGGTACTTGCTTTCGGTGAAAGTGATGAATTTTCATTCATTTTCAAAAAATCAGCAAAAGTTTTCAACAGAAGAAGAGATAAAATCAATTCTACAGTTGCCTCCTTATTTTCATCCATATTTGTTAAAGATTGGTCAAACTTTTTCCCAAATTTACCACTTCAAGATCCTCCTTCCTTTGATTCTAGAATTGTTCTTTATCCATCTCTCGATGTTGTCAAGGATTACTTATGTTGGAGACAAGCAGACACACATATCAATTGTTTATATAATTATACTTTAAATGTCCTCTTGAGGGCAGGTGAAAATCCAACAGATGCGACAGAAAAATTGAGAGGAACATTTTCTAACGATAAAAACGAAATCCTCTTCAAACATGGTATTAATTATAAACTTTTACCAGCTGCTCATAGGAAAGGAACTGTTTGGATTCATGCAAAGAAGCTTTTCGAAACAAATGATGATCTTATTCAGGATGCTTTTTGGAAGAAATACTCAAAACTTTTTGAATAAGATTTTTAACATAATTTTGAATCATGAAATACACATTTTAGGGTTTGTATTACGTTTTTATCTGTTAAAATTAGAATAAATAGATGTTTATATCTTATATATTTTTTTATTGATCTTATATCTTAAAATTATATGAGAAGTGATCTTTGATAGAAGTTTATAAACATCAGAAGAGCTGGAATTTATTAGTAAATAAAAAAATTAAGAATGATTACATATCAATTGGAAGAAAAATAACTGTAAGGAGTAGAATATAAAGGCATATACTGTTGTAAATGAGATGTTATGTTCTGAATCAAGCGATTTAGTGGGCATGATAGATTTTGAATTGTCATTTTTGTAAAAGAAAAAATTGGTAATTGGCAAACTATAGACTGAATGGGGGTAAGTGTATAAATAAGTATAATGAAGGCAGTAAAGCAATTAATGAAAAATATGAAAATGTAATGAAAATTTTTAGGGGGAGAATGATAATTTAAAGAGATGAATGAAAAACAAAGGCAAAGATGAAAAAAAACTTAATATTTTGGTTTATAATTTTAACGAATTTTTAAAATAAAGTGATTTGTGTGTACCATAAAAGAAATAGAGAGTCTTAGCACTTCATGCCACCACCGACAGTGATTTCTTGTTGCCAGTTGATCTTCTGTTTCGAGTACGGGAATTTTCGACGAAGCTGGAAAAGAACATTTGTGCCGATCTTCTCAAGTGTTGTCTTGTAGTCAGCAAGCCATTCGTCTTCGAATGTGCGAATAGCTTTGACAACTGACTTAGCGTCGCCAAAACTGCATGTAGTGTTGCAGTCGCCATCATGCTGGCAAACTGCATTGCCCTTTTCGAAGAAGTGCTGTATAGAAACAATCTTGCCTTCGAGTGAGCCACTCTTGCTTAATGTATACTTGGCAACTGTCTTGCCTGTACGGAAGTTCTTAAGTGAGATGGATGAGCCGCGTAAAACAATAACAATACCATTGTTGGTATCGTAAACACCGGCGGCGGCGTTTTCCTTATATGCATTCTTAGCGTATGCTGTAAGCTCTTCTTGGAGCTCCTTGGCAAAATCACTCATGTTAGCTTGATCACCAATCGGTGTGGCAATGCGAGATTCAAAATCGTATGTAATTAATGAACTTGTGACTGGATCAACGTAAATGCCATCCCTCTGGCAGGCTTCTTTGCAGATAATGACTTTGTGATCTTCTACGTCAACAACGATGCACTCTTCCTCTGCCCAGGTTTTGAGTGTTTCGGATCTGGCTCTGTTGATGAGATCTTCGTCGTTAACAATAGAACGGAGAGCTGCTGTGCATTGTTCGTATTCGCCTGGTGGGGCGTTTGCAAGGAAGGTCTTGATAATTTTGATATTTTCGCTCTCGCTCATTTATTGTAACTTCACTTTTCCTTACTTTTTGTCCGGTTCAATTTGTTTTCTCCCCCTGTCAAAGTTTTTTGAACAAAAACGGTTTGGACAATTATTCATTGCTATAATATGCCTTATTACAAGTTTGCTAATTGCTTAGCGCTATAGCAATACATTGTTATAAGGATGTCAATTTGGAAGAAAAGTGAGAAAATTCCTAAAATGCTAAAAATGAATTTTCCAAACGTATTTTTTTATCTCATTTTTTTGATTTTGAAAAAAATTTGGAGAGAAGAACTCTTCGTTTTTGAATTTTATCACGATGGTTTTAAAGTATATTAGACACATGTATTGGTATTACTATTTTTGTATATTTTGAGAGAAAATCCCTAAAAAGTGAGAAACTCTAAGACGGTTTGAGAAAATATATAAACTATTGAAAATTTGAATTAAACTTCTAATTTGGAAAAAAGAAATTTGGAAAGAAGAAAATTCAAAAATCGAGATTTAGACTCAGCATCAAATGGAGAACAAAATGTTTCTTCATATGAAGGAAAAAATTTTCTTGTGAAGAAATAGAGTTTTTAAAATTTTATTGTATATAATGAAATAAACAAATATTAAAATTATTTTTTGATAACAAGTAAATTCCCAATAGAAATTATTTGAGAGAAAAAAAAAGAAAATTGAAAAATATTACTCTCCTTTATATTTCATGAGATTTTAAATTTATTCTCATAAAATTGACAATTTTATACGTTTAGATGAAAATAAGTGATTTTGGTTGAAATAGAAATTATTATTTGCTTACAGCTATCAAATATATTTTTGCTATTTTGATTAAAATTTGTTAATCAAATTAATAAATTTTTTCTAAATATCTTAAATATCTGGATCACTCACATATACAATGAATTGAACGATAAAAATAATACAAACTCAACTAAGTTTCCTGTCTTTCAACTAAAAAAAATTATGTAAATTAAATTAAATTGTTTATTCAAATATAAAACAAAGATGAAGTAATTACAGTTATCATAAACTTTATGAATAACTCTGTAATTGGTTCAGATTTTCGTAAAAATATTTTTATTAATATCGATAAGAATACGTTTACCTACTATCACAACATATCGATAAACAAGAGTAGAGTGATTTTTATCATCGAAACTTTTTAAAAGCTGTAAGCTGGAAGTAAAAATCTTGTTTTTTCTGAGTCAGTTGTAGAACTATTGATGCACGAGTTATCATTGTGATGTAGAAGGATGTCAATGTACTGACTGAAGGATATGAAGTGAATTGAATTTCATTGCATTTCAATTTGATCAAAATTTGTTGAAATGATATGAATGTGTCAACATCTGTATCACTCTCTTTCACTCCTTCCCTATTCTTTCGAGAACGAAGCTAGCTCAGCTTTCGCTGAGCGAATTGACACTTTTGATGCCCTAAACGTACATATTCTCAAATTTATCGAAAAAATTATACCACCTAAACTAGTATATTCTTATTTTAAATATGATATTATCCTTAGAATCCACACTAGAATATATTTAAATCAACTTTTAAAAAAGTTCGAATCCTGCGCGTCTCACTTTTTAAATTTTCGAAAAGGAAAATTATATTCTCCTAAAATGAAAACAATTTTCCGAATTGACATCCTTAATTGTTAAGTTTGACAGAGAAACATCGTTTGCATCAAGCGAGAAAAAAAAATTCTGCAAAAGGGCAATTGCTAAGCGTGATGATCTGACACACATGGAAAATGCTAAAACATTTTCTCCGTTATCTCTTATTTCTTATATTTTTTAATAAATTTTCTAAATTTCATGAAATCCTACTGACACTTATAAAACAAACTGTCATCCTTATTAATTGAATATACTATGTCGCCAAAAGAGATATATCTATCATTATAGTGATATATCAAAATCATAAATTTCCTGGAATAGTTAATTAAAATGGTACATATATTTATTACACCATATCATTCCAACAAGATTATCTTTTCTGTCTACTAATCTTCGTTTAATTTTCAAAATCAAATTTCAATTCTGAATTAGCTATTAACTATGCAATACATCGACTCCAATCATCTCATTTAAACTCACTAGTTATTAGATGTGAAATTCTCTTTCCTCAAAAGGCAAACACGACTTTTTGATCTATCGTTCATTTCATTCTTTCAATAGAGAATATCAAACCAAAATTTGCATTAAATAGCACATATATCTCAATATTCAGTTGGATATGGGTTATGAACTTACCAAATTGGTTTTCTATTACTATATAATTGATTTTCAACATTTTAAGGGCATTAAAATATAGGTCATTGCTATCTATGCGTGTAAGTAATAATTGGTTGTTATTTCATAAGGATAACAGTTTGTTTTATAAGTGTCAGTAGGATTTCATGAAATTTAGAAAATTTATTAAAAAATATAAGAAATAAGAGATAACGGAGAAAATGTTTTAGCATTTTCCATGTGTGTCAGATCATCACGCTTAGCAATTGCCCTTTTGCAGAATTTTTTTTTCTCGCTTGATGCAAACGATGTTTCTCTGTCAAACTTTACAATGTATTGCTATAGCGCTAAGCAATTAGCAAACTTGTAATAAGGCATATTATAGCAATGAATAATTGTCCAAACCGTTTTTGTTCAAAAAACTTTGACAGGGGGAGAAAACAAATTGAACCGGACAAAAAGTAAGGAAAAGTGAAGTTACAATAAATGAGCGAGAGCGAAAATATCAAAATTATCAAGACCTTCCTTGCAAACGCCCCACCAGGCGAATACGAACAATGCACAGCAGCTCTCCGTTCTATTGTTAACGACGAAGATCTCATCAACAGAGCCAGATCCGAAACACTCAAAACCTGGGCAGAGGAAGAGTGCATCGTTGTTGACGTAGAAGATCACAAAGTCATTATCTGCAAAGAAGCCTGCCAGAGGGATGGCATTTACGTTGATCCAGTCACAAGTTCATTAATTACATACGATTTTGAATCTCGCATTGCCACACCGATTGGTGATCAAGCTAACATGAGTGATTTTGCCAAGGAGCTCCAAGAAGAGCTTACAGCATACGCTAAGAATGCATATAAGGAAAACGCCGCCGCCGGTGTTTACGATACCAACAATGGTATTGTTATTGTTTTACGCGGCTCATCCATCTCACTTAAGAACTTCCGTACAGGCAAGACAGTTGCCAAGTATACATTAAGCAAGAGTGGCTCACTCGAAGGCAAGATTGTTTCTATACAGCACTTCTTCGAAAAGGGCAATGCAGTTTGCCAGCATGATGGCGACTGCAACACTACATGCAGTTTTGGCGACGCTAAGTCAGTTGTCAAAGCTATTCGCACATTCGAAGACGAATGGCTTGCTGACTACAAGACAACACTTGAGAAGATCGGCACAAATGTTCTTTTCCAGCTTCGTCGAAAATTCCCGTACTCGAAACAGAAGATCAACTGGCAACAAGAAATCACTGTCGGTGGTGGCATGAAGTGCTAAGACTCTCTATTTCTTTTATGGTACACACAAATCACTTTATTTTAAAAATTCGTTAAATAATATTTACGATTTTTTTATATGACATCCAAAAATGCTTAGATTTTCATTTTATTGTTGTTATTATCATCTTACTTACTGTACTGAATCCAATTTATTACACAAACTTTAAGAATGTAAAGAAAAATTTTGAAATTTCCAAACAAAAAAAAATCCAATCAAACCTCAAACTAATTAATTTATAATTTATATAATTTTATGTACATTGATTATATTTATTCAAAAATTGTATCAAAATTCGCTATCAGCTTCAATGAAATTCATTACAATGATCTGATATCTATATCGCAGCAACTCTACCAATTCTTCAAGCCATTATATATCTCTTTATGAACTTCTTATGCTCCAGTTATTGATCTTCCCACTCAAATTTCGATCAGCAAAAAATGCCAAAAAAACTAAAAAAATTCAAAATGACAGCAGTGATGGTTGAAGAGTCCGAATTTTCAAATAGATTTGTTGAGGATTTTCTTCCATCATTAGGGACCTTAAAAAGTTCAGGTATAACTATTCCTCCTTGGCTTGAACCTAATTTTTGGGATAATTGTCGACATCAAGACTTTGCGCGCTTAATCATCGTTGAACTTTTCGATTATATAATAAGTACTGTGAAAAGATCTAATGCCACTAAAACAAATGAAACTCCGCCCGAAATTGAGTCGGCATTACTCGGAATTAGCCATATTATGCTTACTTTTAGAGTCACATTTGAAAAACAGTCATGGACAAATTACTACAACAAAATAGTTATGCTTCCATACCCAATTGTTCAATACATTTTAGTTTCTTTGAATAAATACACTCAATCTAGTGAATTCAATATGAAAGCAGTTTTAAACATGATTACAAATAAATACGATAACCTTTTTACCAAACAATCCATGCCTTTGTTTAATTTGATTTTATTGCTCAGAACTTTACATTCTGATCCTTCTACGGCCCGCGCGTTCTTCGTAGCCCTTAAATCTCGTTTGGAAAGTATTAATACAACCAGTGAAACTATTGTTCTCCTTCATGTTATCGAAATAATTGTTACAATCTTTCCTGACTTACAAAAAGACTTTTTGCTCGATCTGGCAGACCAATTAAAGAGTGTATATATACTTCCGCTCCCTGCTTCTTCAAAAGGCTTCGAAATTCAGAAAAATGTTAGAAAATCGATTGAATATCCAGGATTCTTATATTATAAGCTCTTAAGAACAATAGGATCCACCAACGAAGCTACCGATGCAGTTATACCATTCCTTTTCGATGCAAATTACCAATTATTACCTACATTTTTACATTCACGCCAGAATCCATATTTTTCGATCCAGAAAGCTTTCATTAATTACGGAAATTATTATCTTGTTAGGAAATACAACGAAAAATCAAGGCCAGCAAAAGAAATCATCCAAATTTTACAAAATCTCGATTTTGACGAGAAATCTGAAGAAAAAGTCATCCAAGAATTCAACATTACAAAGAATCCTGCTCCTGTTGAAGAATTTGACGTTTCTACTCTTGCTCCACCTTTAATTCAACTTTCCCAGAAGAAATTTTCAATGACACTCTTCAATATCCTACAAACTGACACTTTTGTCGATGGGACAGAGTGTTTCATGTCACCAATTCCGATGAGATTCATTTCGGAGATAATAACACCGATTGCGAGGTGGGCAAAGACTCGCCCGCAGAATAATATCTGGGATTATAAGATTCTCGTGTCTTCCAGCGCTTCATTTATGTCCCACGTCCTTCTTGGAATAATTCAAGGAATATTTAAGTTCAAAGAGGATATTTCCAAGATGGTCTTGTTCATTTATTTGATACAGATCGACCAAACGGACTATTCGCCACTTTCTGAGTACATTGGAGCAAATGATGAAATTTATTCAAGATTTATTCACAATGTGTTCTCAATTTGCAGTCAAATCGCTCCAACGCTCAATTCCGTATCCCAAACTAACTTCCCATTGATTGTTTTCGAAAAACAATGTTCACCAAATATTTGGTTCTCAAATCCATCTCCTTCTGCGATGATTCAGAACGCCATCCAGGACTACCTCATGTTTGCTCAGAACATGGTCAGCTGTTACGTCTGGAAAGCCGTTTTACAATTTGATCAGAAATCTATAACGGTTCCCTTCATAACGTCACTACATATTGGCGTACAATTTTCCAGAGGTCGATTCGTTGACGCCGAATACTCGAAAAAGATCAAAACCAAGAAAGTTTTGATTTCATATGATTCCGTTGAGGTTGCTCCTTATGAAATCACGTCTGTTGCACTCTGGAATGTCGATGCCCGCTTGAAGATTAGGCCTAGCGACCCAACTCTCATCATGGAATATATTAATGATACAACTAACCTAGATATTGATAATTTCAGAGAGCAGCTGAAATCTCAGATCAAAAGAATTCCTGTCAAGCAATTTTACATTGCTGGAAACGAGAAAAACCCCGTTTACTTCAATGTTTTCATTGATGGAATCACATACGAAAAGATTAGAACCGTAACAGTCTTTGCCATGGAATTTACGGAAAAGAAGACACATATGACGCTCAATATCCCAACTTTCCTCCCAATTGAGTAATTTCATGTTTTATTTTATTTATGTATATTATCTTGTTTTAATAAAAAGCATTATAAACCGATTAATTAAGTAATTTCATGTTGTATAAGCATTATAAAAAAACTTTATATATCACAACCTATAGATGACCAATCTCGGACGAATTAAATAAATTTTTGACCTATAATACTCTAGTTCACTCAATAAAGGTGTAATGTGAGATTTTCTGTTCCTTTGTCATGAGATTTTGGAAAATCAAACATATTTGATTGTACACTCAGCTAGTTATTGATTCTCAAATTTCCTTGAGTCGAGTTTTATTAATTTAAAGTATCAAAAACATAAAAATTAACAATAATGATGATAAATTACGATAACAAATAATCTTTTGAAAAATTCCAAATGTTAATGAAATTTTTAGTAATCAAACCTATTGCTTTATAAAGTCTTATTTATTATCTATAATACAAACAAAAAATAAAAAAAACCAATTGTTAGAACAAAAAAATGGCTTAATCTGCGTAAGGTGTTAATTCGTTGCACAAATTCTTAAAATCTTGGGGAATACGGCCTTTACATGAAGGGCAAGAATTAGAATTATGTTTTGCAATGCATTTGACGTGACATAATGCATTGCAACATGGTAATATCGAAACAAGTTCTGAGCTTTCAATTAAATTCTTGCAGAATATGCATTTATTTTGTAAAACATCATTTTCATTTTCGGATTCCTCGGCTTCCATCTTTTGTTTTTCAATAATTTCTTTTGCGATAGTTTTAGATTTCTTTTCAGAGTCATGGAATGACTGAATAACGCGGGTTAATAAGGTTTGAGCATCAACATTTGTATTCATATATTGAGATAAAAGGTGACAATTAAAATTTGATATGTTACCAGATTCAAAAGGAATATGAATATTTTTAAATGTGCGATGAAATTTATGTAAAATCAAAAATGCAAGATGAATTTTAATTATTCAAATAAAAATTATTAAAACGAATGTCTAGCCTGCGTAGCATAGTGGTTAATGTGTGCGCCTTGTAAGCGCAAGGTCGCCGGTTTAACTCCGGTCGTAGGCAAAATTTTTAAAATTATTTTGAATTTTAGGTAACCCTGAAAGACTCCATATTATATAATATATATGTTTTTATTTCTTAAATTTTAAAGTATCCGTTTCCTTAAAACTGGAGCTTACTGAGATCTTAAACTTGAAAATTCGATGCTATTGTATTTCCCAATTTCGATATTTTATCGATAAAATAAAAATTTCAGAAATATTCTTATCGAAAATTGGCTATTGATTTTTTATAAAATAGCATTATGCATTTAAGAAATGAAAAATATTGATTTGTTTCAACTCCATCTTAATTAATAAGTGAAAATATGATAATATCGTTTCAAACTATAACATAGCACTTCAAAGCTACAATATCTGATATTGCCTTAATTATTTATGCCCAATATCACTTCGAATTATATCCTGTATTTTTCAAATTGTGGAGAAAAAAAAATTGAAAAGTGGAAAAAAATTTGAACTGTGGAAAAAAAATTTGAACTGTGGAAAAAAATTGAATTGTGTACAAAATGAGTTATACATGGCACGATGGGCGCTACTTTTTTGGCGCCAGCGGCGCCGCCCGCGCCTCCGGTGGCTCCCACTGGTGGGGAGGAGACGATAGAAAAAGATATAAATTTTACTAAAAAAATTGAATTTTGGAAATTCTTTTGATTTTTTTGAATGATTTACGAAGAGATTGAACACATTTTGTACTATGAAATATCGTTATTAATAAATTTACTTCTTAAACATCTATTAAAATCGCAATTTTGAATATTTTTATGATTTTTTTTTGACCCGAATCACTTGCGCCCGCGCCCACTGGGAGGGGCGCTTGTAAAGTATTTCAAAAATCAATGTAAACATTTCAATTTTTGCTCCCACCTCCCATTGGGAGGGGGCATAATATCTTTGTAGCGTTCAAGTTCAAGTGATGAAAGTGCATAAGAAAGCTCCTTAATCATACCGATAGAAACAGCATTAGGGGCGCCAAATGGCGCTCGGTGATGTTTCCCATAAAAAGCTTAATTTCAGGTATCCATAATCATAACCTGTCAGACGCAATAATTCATTAGCACACAATCATCGTTTCTCAATCAAGAAACGAAACGCACGATTGATTATGCTGGCCATTAAATTTTCATATCAAATAATTTACTACTTCAAGAAAAATTAAAGACTATCATCAACCAAAGCTTAAAATTCTCAGTGTTTACAACTCTCATACTCCGAATATGCATATTTCCAAAATAGCATGAAAATTTTTTTCATTTGAGCTCATTTTCTTTTGTTCTATTAACTAATACATGCAGTACAAGCTTGTTATACGTATACTTAATAAGTAAGGTCTTAAGGGAAATAATAAAAAAGAATTTTGCTATTAATTATATTAAACAATATTTATTTGTAATTTCGTGATAATTATATTTCTTATTACAAAGTAAAGGTATTTGATATAATGTTTGCCTTACAAAAATGTTTCCTTTGTCTTGCCACCATAGGTATTCTATTTTGTCACTTTTTGCGCCCACCGTGCCATGTATAAAATGAGTGGAGTAGCAATTGCTTTTTTTTTCATTATGAGTTCTGACTATTCAAAACAATATGCGGATTTTATAGGGGCGCTTGAAAAGCTCTTTCACATAAAATCTAATGAACCTATCGAAGATATGTGCAGTATAATTACAAATACTTTGATTTCGAAGTATCAACTTTCAATCAATCAACTTACAAAGTTAATTCATGAGGCAATTAGATACAATTATGCATCTGGAGCGAATTACGTCAAAATACTCGAACAGATCGGGGCTGACCTAACCGGAGTTTCGGAAAAACATTTTGAAACGGAGAGTTCGATTAAATTTATAGTTATGCATGATCAAATTGATAAGTTCAAGGAATACTTAACTCAAAATTCAATATCTGGTGACATTTTTCTCGAAATTCCTAATTTCTGGTACAATGCTTATCACGATGATGAATGTTTTGCAGAGTTATCACTAATTGAAGCATGTGCCTACTTTGGATCTGTTAACATTTTTTATTTCTTGATTTCGAATCAAATCAGTTTAATAACTGAAAGGTGTCTTAGCTACTCAGTAATTGGAGGAAATCAAGACATCATCAACGAATGCTTGAAAGAAAATAAAATGGATATTGATTGTCTCAGAAGCATTATAAGATCACACAATCACGAATTACTTGAATATGTTTTAGATAGAGAGATTTTCGAGCTTGATGATTTATACGGTGAGGATTGGAAATCGGGAAAAGAAAGGAATTGTATGGGAGATGCAAATTATAGACCTATTTATAAAGATATCATCAGATTTCAAAACCTTAATGCTGTATTTCTTCTATTCAAAAGGAACAAATATTACATCTTTCCATGGGGTGCTGCATTTCCGCAAACAATAGATATTTTCAAAAACAATTCATTTTCTAACAAACATAATCACACTAAATGTGGAATTATTTATTTTGCAAGTAAATCGAAAAATTCTGATATTTGCAGATTATTACTTGAGTCATACAATCAAATTATAGTCAACAATAAACAAGATATAGATATCAATGAAAAAGATGATGATGGAAAAACCGCACTTCATATTGCAGCAAGTCACAATAGTAAAGAAACAGCCAAACTTCTTATTTCACACGGTATAAATATCAATGAAAAAGATAATGATGGAAGAACCGCTCTTCATTTTGCAGCAAGTCACAATAGTAAAGAAACAGCCAAACTTCTTATTTCGCATGGTATAAATATCAATGAAAAAGATAATAATGGACAAACCGCTCTTTTTGATGCAGCAATTAATAATAGGAAAGAAACAGCCGAAATTCTTATTTCACATGATATAGATATCAATGGAAAAGATAATAATGGGAAAACTACACTTCATTATTCAATGGAAAATAATTGTAAAGAAATAGCCGAACTTCTTATTTCACACGGTATAAATATCAATGAAAAAGATAATATGAGTAAGAACCCGATATTTGCTCTCATTTGCAGCATTAAATAATCGTAAAGAAACAGCCGAACTTCTTATTTCGCATGGTATAAATATCAATGAAAAAGATAATGATGGAAAAACCGCTCTTTTTGATGCAGCACTAGAAATATAGAGAAACAAGCCGAACTTCTTATTTCGCATGGTATAAATATCAATGAAAAAGATAATGATGGAAAAACCGCTCTTTTTGATGCAGCACTAGAAAATAGTAGAGAAACAGCCGAACTTCTTATTTCGCATGGTATAAATATCAATGAAAAAGATAATGATGGAAAAACCGCTCTTTTTGATGCAGCACTAGAAAATAGTAGAGAAACAGCCGAACTTCTTATTTCGCATGGTATAAATATCAATGAAAAAGATAATGATGGAAGAACCGCTCTTCATATTGCAGCATTTTATAATAATAGAGAAATAGCCAAACTTCTTATTTCGCATGGTATAAATATCAATGAAAAAGATAATGATGGAAAAACCGCACTTCATATTGCAGCAAGTCACAATAGTAAAGAAACAGCCAAACTTCTTATTTCGCATGGTATAAATATCAATGAAAAAGATAATGATGGAAAAACCGCTCTTCATTTTGCAGCATTTTATAATAATAGAGAAATAGCCGAAATTCTTATTTCGCATGGTATAAATATCAATGAAAAAGATAATATTGGACAAACCGCTCTTCATAAAGCAACACGTTATATAGATAAATAAACAGCCGAAATTCTTATTTAGCATGGTATAAATATCAATGAAAAAGATAATGATGGAAAAACCGCTCTTTTTGATGCAGCACTAGAAAATAGTAGAGAAACAGCCGAACTTCTTATTTCGCATGGTATAAATATCAATGAAAAAGATAATGATGGAAAAACCGCTCTTTTTGATGCAGCACTAGAAAATAGTAGAGAAACAGCCGAACTTCTTATTTCGCATGGTATAAATATCAATGAAAAAGATAATGATGGAAAAACCGCTCTTTTTGATGCAGCACTAGAAAATAGTAGAGAAACAGCCGAACTTCTTATTTCGCATGGTATAAATATCAATGAAAAAGATAATGATGGAAAAACCGCTCTTTTTGATGCAGCACTAGAAAATAGTAGAGAAACAGCCGAACTTCTTATTTCGCATGGTATAAATATCAATGAAAAAGATAATGATGGAAGAACCGCTCTTCATATTGCAGCATTTTATAATAATAGAGAAATAGCCGAAATTCTTATTTCGCATGGTATAAATATCAATGAAAAAGATAATATTGGACAAACCGCTCTTCATAAAGCAACACGTTATATAGATAAAGAAACAACCGAAATTCTTATTTAGCATGGTATAAATATCAATGAAAAAGATAATGATGGACAAACCGCTCTTTTTGAGGCAGCATTTTATAATAGTAGAGAAATAGCCGAACTTCTTATTTCGCATGGTATAAATATCAATGAAAAAGATAATGATGGAAAAACCGCTCTTTTTGATGCAGCACTAGAAAATAGTAGAGAAACAGCCGAACTTCTTATTTCGCATGGTATAAATATCAATGAAAAAGATAATGATGGACAAACCGCTCTTTTTGATGCAGCACTAGAAAATAGTAGAGAAACAGCCGAACTTCTTATTTCGCATGGTATAAATATCAATGAAAAAGATAATGATGGAAGAACCGCTCTTCATTTTGCAGCAAGTCACAATAGTAAAGAAACAGCCAAACTTCTTATTTCGCATGGTATAAATATCAATGAAAAAGATAATGATGGAAAAACCGCACTTCATATTGCAGCAAGTCACAATAGTAAAGAAACAGCCAAACTTCTTATTTCGCATGGTATAAATATCAATGAAAAAGATAATGATGGAAAAACCGCTCTTCATTTTGCAGCATTTTATAATAATAGAGAAATAGCCGAAATTCTTATTTCACATGGTATAAATATCAATGAAAAAGATAATATTGGACAAACCGCTCTTCATAAAGCAACACGTTATATAGATAAATAAACAGCCGAAATTCTTATTTAGCATGGTATAAATATCAATGAAAAAGATAATGATGGACAAACCGCTCTTTTTGAGGCAGCATTTTATAATAGTAGAGAAATAGCCGAACTTCTTATTTCACACGGTATAAATATCAATGAAAAAGATAATGATGGACAAACCGCTCTTTTTGAGGCAGCATTTTATAATAGTAGAGAAATAGCCGAACTTCTTATTTCACACGGTATAAATATCAATGAAAAAGATAATGATGGAAGAACCGCTCTTCATTTTGCAGCATTAAATAATCGTAAAGAAACAGCCGAAATTCTTATTTCGCATGGTATAAATATCAATGAAAAAGATAATGATGGAAAAACCGCTCTTCATATTGCAGCATTTTATAATAATAGAGAAATAGCCAAACTTCTTATTTCGCATGGTATAAATATCAATGAAAAAGATAATGATGGAAAAACCGCTCTTCATTTTGCAGCATTTTATAATAATAGAGAAATAGCCGAAATTCTTATTTCGCATGGTATAAATATCAATGAAAAAGATAATATTGGACAAACCGCTCTTCATAAAGCAACACGTTATATAGATAAATAAACAGCCGAAATTCTTATTTAGCATGGTATAAATATCAATGAAAAAGATAATGATGGAAAAACCGCTCTTTTTGATGCAGCACTAGAAAATAGTAGAGAAACAGCCGAACTTCTTATTTCGCATGGTATAAATATCAATGAAAAAGATAATGATGGAAAAACCGCTCTTTTTGATGCAGCACTAGAAAATAGTAGAGAAACAGCCGAACTTCTTATTTCGCATGGTATAAATATCAATGAAAAAGATAATGATGGAAAAACCGCTCTTTTTGATGCAGCACTAGAAAATAGTAGAGAAACAGCCGAACTTCTTATTTCGCATGGTATAAATATCAATGAAAAAGATAATGATGGAAAAACCGCTCTTTTTGATGCAGCATTTTAAAATAGTAGAGAAACAGCCGAACTTCTTATTTCGCATGGTATAAATATCAATGAAAAAGATAATGATGGAAAAACCGCTCTTTTTGAGGCAGCATTTTATAATAATAGAGAAATAGCCGAACTTCTTATTTCACATCGGTATAAATATCAATGAAAAAGATATATATGAGACCAACGCTACTTCAAAAAGAAACAGATAAAATATAGATAAAAAAAGAAAACAAAAAAAGAAATTAATATAAAAAAAACCCATTTACACATGAGAAAACTCTACCATAAAATAACAATACAATGAAACAAAGATTAAAACAATAGAAATGGACCAAACAAGAATCAATTTATGAAACAGGCAAGCACATTTATAATAATAGAGAGAAAAGCCGAACTTCTTATTTCGCATAGGTATATAAATACAATGAAAAAGATAATGATGGAAAAAACCGCTCTTTTATAAAAAAATGACAGCACTAGAAAAATAGTAGAAAACAGCCGAACTTCTTTATTTCGCATGGTATAAATATCAATGAAAAAGATAATGATGGAAAAACCGCTCTTTTGAGTCAGCACTAGAAAATAGTAGAGAAACAGCCGAACTTCTTATTCGCATGGTATAAATATCAATGAAAAAGATAATGATGGAAAAACCGCTCTTCATTTTGCAGCAAGTCCAATAGTAAAGAACAGCCAAAACTTCTTATTTCGCATGGTATAAATATCAATGAAAAAGATAATGATGGAAAAAACCGCTCTTCATATTGCAGCAAGTCAAATAGTAAAGAAACAGCCAAACTTCTTATTTCGCATGGTATAAATATCAATGAAAAAGAAATGATGGAAAACCGCTCTTATTTTGCAGAAGTCACAATAGTAAAGAAACAGCCGAAACTTCTTATTTCGATGGTATAAATATCAATGAAAAAGATAATATTGGACAAACCGCTCTTCATAAGGCAACACGTTATATAGATAAATAAACAGCCGAAATTCTTATTTAGCATGGTATAAATATCAATGAAAAAGATAATGATGGACAAACCGCTCTTTTTGAGGCAGCATTTTATAATAGTAGAGAAATAGCCGAACTTCTTATTTCGCATGGTATAAATATCAATGAAAAAGATAATGATGGACAAACCGCTCTTTTTGAGGCAGCATTTTATAATAGTAGAGAAATAGCCGAACTTCTTATTTCACACGGTATAAATATCAATGAAAAAGATAATGATGGAAGAACCGCTCTTCATTTTGCAGCATTAAATAATCGTAAAGAAACAGCCGAAATTCTTATTTCGCATGGTATAAATATCAATGAAAAAGATAATGATGGAAAAACCGCTCTTCATATTGCAGCATTTTATAATAATAGAGAAATAGCCGAACTTCTTATTTCGCATGGTATAAATATCAATGAAAAAGATAATGATGGAAGAACCGCTCTTCATTTTGCAGCATTTTATAATAATAGAGAAATAGCCGAAATTCTTATTTCGCATGGTATAAATATCAATGAAAAAGATAATATTGGACAAACCGCTCTTCATAAAGCAACACGTTATATAGATAAAGAAACAACCGAAATTCTTATTTAGCATGGTATAAATATCAATGAAAAAGATAATGATGGACAAACCGCTCTTTTTGAGGCAGCATTTTATAATAGTAGAGAAATAGCCGAACTTCTTATTTCGCATGGTATAAATATCAATGAAAAAGATAATGATGGACAAACCGCTCTTTTTGAGGCAGCATTTTATAATAGTAGAGAAATAGCCGAACTTCTTATTTCACACGGTATAAATATCAATGAAAAAGATAATGATGGAAGAACCGCTCTTCATTTTGCAGCATTTTATAATAATAGAGAAACAGCCGAAATTCTTATTTCGCATGGTATAAATATCAATGAAAAAGATAATGATGGACAAACCGCTCTTTTTGAGGCAGCATTTTATAATAGTAGAGAAATAGCCGAACTTCTTATTTCACACGGTATAAATATCAATGAAAAAGATAATGATGGAAAAACCGCTCTTTTTGATGCAGCACTAGAAAATAGTAGAGAAACAGCCAAACTTCTTATTTAGCATGGTATAAATATCAATGAAAAAGATAATGATGGACAAACCGCTCTTTTTGAGGCAGCATTTTATAATAGTAGAGAAATAGCCGAACTCCTTATTTCACACGGTATAAATATCAATGAAAAAGATAATGATGGAAGAACCGCTCTTCATTTTGCAGCAAGTCACAATAGTAAAGAAACAGCCAAACTTCTTATTTCGCATGGTATAAATATCAATGAAAAAGATAATGATGGAAAAACCGCACTTCATATTGCAGCAAGTCACAATAGTAAAGAAACAGCCAAACTTCTTATTTCGCATGGTATAAATATCAATGAAAAAGATAATATTGGACAAACCGCTCTTCATAAAGCAACACGTTATATAGATAAAGAAACAACCGAAATTCTTATTTAGCATGGTATAAATATCAATGAAAAAGATAATGATGGACAAACCGCTCTTTTTGAGGCAGCATTTTATAATAGTAGAGAAATAGCCGAACTTCTTATTTCGCATGGTATAAATATCAATGAAAAAGATAATGATGGAAAACGCTTTCTTTTGCAGCATTTAAATAATTAGAGAAATAGCCGAACTTCTTATTTCGCATGGTAAAATATCAATAAAAAGATAATGATGGAAAACCGCTCTTTTTGCAGCATTTATATAATAGTAGAGAAATAGCCGAAACTTCTTATTTCACACGTATAAATATCAATGAAAAAGATAATGATGGAAAAACCGCTCTTTATGCAGCATTTATATAATAGTAGAAACAGCCGAACTTCTTATTTCACATGGTATAAATATCAATGAAAAATAATGATGGAAACCGCTCTTCTTTTGCAGCATTAATAATAGTAAGAAACAGCCGAATTCTTTTCGCATGGTATAAATATCAATGAAAAAGATAATGATGGAAAACCGCTTTCATAGCAGCATAGAAATAGTAAGAGAACAGCCGAACTTCTTATTTCGCATGGTATAAATATCAATGAAAAAGATAATGATGGAAAAACGCTCTTTTTTGCAGCACTAAATAGTAGAGAAACAGCCGAACTTCTTATTTCGCATGGTATAAATATCAATGAAAAAGATAATGATGGACAACCGCTCTTTTATGCAGCACTAAATAGTAAAGAAACAGCCGAAACTTCTTATTTCGCATGGTATAAATATCAATGAAAAAGATAATGATGGAAAACCGCTTTTTTGATGCAGCATTTTATAATAAATAGAGAAATAGCCGAACTTCTTATTTCGCATGGTATAAATATCAATGAAAAAGATAATGATGGAAAAACCGCTCTCATTTTGCAGCAATAAATAGTAAAGAAAACAGCCGAACTTCTTATTTCGCATGGTATAAATATCAATGAAAAAGATAATGATGGAAAACCGCTCTTTTTGAGCAGCATTATAATAGAGAAACAGCCGAACTTCTTATTTCACATGGTATAATATCAATGAAAAAGATAATGATGGAAAACCGCTCTTCATTTGCAGCAATAATAATGTAAGAAACAGCCGAACTTCTTATTTCGCATGGTATAAATATCAATGAAAAAGATAATGATGGAAAACCGCTCTTCATTTGCAGCATTTTATAATAATAGAGAAACAGCCGAAATTCTTATTTCGCATGGTATAAATATCAATGAAAAAGATAATGATGGAAAACCGCTCTTTTTGCAGCATTTTTATAATAATAGAGAAACAGCCGAAATTCTTATTTCGCATGGTATAAATATCAATGAAAAAGATAATGATGGACAAACCGCTCTTTTTGAGGCAGCATAATAGTAGAGAAACAGCCGAACTTCTTATTTCGCATGGTATAAATATCAATGAAAAAGATAATGATGGAAAACCGCTCTTTTTGATGCAGCACTAAAATAGTAGAGAAAAGCCGAACTTCTTATTTCGCATGGTATAAATATCAATGAAAAAGATAATGATGGAAAACCGCTCTTTTGAGCAGCACTAATAATAGTAGAGAAATAGCCGAACTTCTTATTTCGCACGGTATAAATATCAATGAAAAAGATAATGATGGAAAACCGCTCTTTTTGATGCAGCACTAGAAATAGTAGAGAAACAGCCGAACTTCTTATTTCGCATGTATAAATATCAATGAAAAAGATAATGATGGAAAACCGCTCTTTTTGATGCAGCATAAATAGTAGAGAAACAGCCAAACTTCTTATTTCGCATGGTATAAATATCAATGAAAAAGATAATGATGGAAAACCGCTCTTCTTTGCAGCATATAAAATAGTAAAGAAATAGCCAAACTTCTTATTTCGCATGGTATAAATATCAATGAAAAAGATAATGATGGAAAACCGCTCTCTTCATTCAGCATTTTATAATATAGAGAAACAGCCGAAACTTCTTATTTCGCATGGTATAAATATCAATGAAAAAGATAATGATGGAAACCGCTCTTTGCAGCATTATATAGTAAGAAACAGCCGAACTTCTTATTTCGCATGGTATAAATATCAATGAAAAAGATAATGATGGACAAAACCGCTCTTTTTGAGCAGCATTTATAATAGTAGAGAAATAGCCGAACTTCTTATTTCGCATGGTATAAATATCAATGAAAAAGATAATGATGGACAAACCGCTCTTTTTGATGCAGCATTTTATAATAGTAGAGAAATAGCCGAACTTCTTATTTCGCATATATAAATATCAATGAAAAAGATAATGATGGAAAACCGCTCTCTCTTTTTGCAGCATTAAATAATACACGAAATTCTTATTTCGCATGGTATAAATATCAATGAAAAAGATAATGATGGAAAACCGCTCTTCATTTGCAGCATTATAATATAGAGAAACAGCCGAACTTCTTATTTCGCATGGTATAAATATCAATGAAAAAGATAATGATGGAAAACCGCTCTTCATTTTGCAGCATTTTATAATAATAGAGAAAACAGCCGAAATTCTTATTTCGCATGGTATAAATATCAATGAAAAAGATAATGATGGAAAACCGCTCTTTTCATGGCACATTATATAATAGTAAGAAACAGCCGAAATTCTTACATGGTATAAATATCAATGAAAAAGATAATGATGGAAAACCGCTCTTTTTGAGCAGCATTATAATAGTAGAGAAACAGCCGAACTTCTTATTTCGCATGGTATAAATATCAATGAAAAAGATAATGATGGAAAACCGCTCTTTTTGAGGCAGCATTTTATAATAGTAGAGAAATAGCCGAACTTCTTATTTCGCATGGTATAAATATCAATGAAAAAGATAATGATGGAAAACCGCTCTTCATTTTGCAGCATTTTATAATAATAGAGAAACAGCCGAAATTCTTATTTCGCATGGTATAAATATCAATGAAAAAGATAATGATGGACAAACCGCTCTTTTTGAGCAGCATTTTATAATAGTAGAGAAATAGCCGAACTTCTTATTTCACATGGTATAAATATCAATGAAAAGATAATGATGGAAAACCGCTCTTTTTGATGCAGCACTATAATAGTAGAGAAACAGCCGAACTTCTTATTTCGCATGGTATAAATATCAATGAAAAAGATAATGATGGAAAACCGCTCTTTTTGAGGCAGCATTTTATAATAGTAGAGAAATAGCCGAACTTCTTATTTACGGTATAAATATCAATGAAAAAGATAATGATGGACAAACCGCTCTTTTTGAGGCAGCATTTTATAATAGTAGAGAAATAGCCGAACTTCTTATTTCACACGGTATAAATATCAATGAAAAAGATAATGATGGAAAACCGCTCTTTTTTGCAGCATTTTATAATAATAGAGAAATAGCCGAATTCTTATTTCGCATGGTATAAATATCAATGAAAAAGATAATGATGGACAAACCGCTCTTTGACAGTTATAATAGATAAAGAAATAGCCGAACTTCTTATTTGCATGGTATAAATATCAATGAAAAAGATAATGATGGACAAACCGCTCTTTTTGAGCAGCATTTTATAATAGTAGAGAAATAGCCGAACTTCTTATTTCACATGGTATAAATATCAATGAAAAAGATAATGATGGACAAACCGCTCTTTTTGAGCAGCATTTTATAATAGTAGAGAAATAGCCGAACTTCTTATTTCGCATGGTATAAATATCAATGAAAAAGATAATGATGGAAACCGCTCTTCATTTTTGCAGCATTTTATAATAATAGAGAAATAGCCGAACTTCTTATTTCACATGGTATAAATATCAATGAAAAAGATAATGATGGACAAACCGCTCTTCATGCAGCATTTTATAATAATAGAGAAACAGCCGAAATTCTTATTTCGCATGGTATAAATATCAATGAAAAAGATAATGATGGACAAACCGCTCTTTTTGAGCAGCATTTATAATAGTAGAGAAATAGCCGAAACTTCTTATTTCGCATGGTATAAATATCAATGAAAAAGATAATGATGGACAAACCGCTCTTTTTGAGGCAGCATTTTATAATAGTAGAGAAATAGCCGAACTTCTTATTTCACACGGTATAAATATCAATGAAAAAGATAATGATGGAAAACCGCTCTTCTTTTGCAGCATTTTATAATAAGTAGAGAAACAGCCGAATTCTTATTTCACATGGTATAAATATCAATGAAAAAGATAATGATGGAAAACCGCTCTTTTTGCAGCATTTTATAATAGTAGAGAAACAGCCGAACTTCTTATTTCGCATGGTATAAATATCAATGAAAAAGATAATGATGGACAAACCGCTCTTTTTGAGCAGCATTTTATAATAGTAGAGAAATAGCCGAACTCTTATTTCACACGGTATAAATATCAATGAAAAAGATAATGATGGAAAACCGCTCTTCATTTTGCAGCATTTAATAATAGTAGAGAAACAGCCGAAATTCTTATTTCGCATGGTATAAATATCAATGAAAAAGATAATGATGGACAAACCGCTTCTTTTTGAGGCAGCATTTATAATAGTAGAGAAATAGCCGAACTTCTTATTTCACACGGTATAAATATCAATGAAAAAGATAATGATGGAAGAACCGCTCTTCATTTTGCAGCATTAAATAATCGTAAAGAAACAGCCGAAATTCTTATTTCGCATGGTATAAATATCAATGAAAAAGATAATGATGGAAAAACCGCTCTTTTTGATGCAGCATAGAAAATAAGTAGAGAAACAGCCGAACTTCTTATTTCGCATGGTATAAATATCAATGAAAAAGATAATGATGGAAAACCGCTCTTTTTGATGCAGCATAAAATAGTAAGAAACAGCCGAACTTCTTATTTCGCATGGTATAAATATCAATGAAAAAGATAATGATGGAAAACCGCTCTTTTTGATGCAGCACTAAAAATAGTAGAGAAACAGCCGAACTTCTTATTTCGCATGGTATAAATATCAATGAAAAAGATAA